ATTAACTAAATGAGGCTAATAATAAAATTAATTTTGTTGTTAATGCTGTTTTTTTGTTTTTTGTATTAAGCAGGAACACAGTTTAAATGACAAGCCAGTCCAGTTGACCTCTATTTTTGTAATTCTATGTAATAAATTATATATTTATGACTATTACAAGCTTTGTAAATACATTATTTGGATTCTGAAGGATAGAACTTAATAACACGTATTAAAAGAATTTTCGATGTTTTAAATAGTATAAAGTTGTGTAGTTGTATGTAAGTCATTTTTAATTAGTATAATATTCAAATAACTGCATTTGAATATTAAGGAGCGTACATAGGGTTACAGTTAGGATTTAATTTCCTCGGTTGTCCCCGTTTAATTTTCAATTAAATAAAAACGCTCGCATATATTTTTCATAGGAGTTATCCTTACACAGAACATAATATAGGATTAAAACAATTTTATAATGCATTTTTTATTAATATAATTCTTCTTTATAGTCTGTTTAAGTATAAAATATGTTCAAAGAATGACCAAAAGAGTTTTCGGATATGATTCCGAACAGTAATGTAATATTTTCTATTTAATTTTTAATTAAATATAAGTGGCCACGGGTATTTTTCTGTGGTGTCTTAGCCTCTTTACGTAGAATATAAAACAGGATCAAGAAGATTTTATGCCACATTTTTTATGGATATAATCCCTTTCTGTAGTCTGAGTATAAAACATGAGGAAAGAGATGCTTGTATCACTCAAACAGTTATGCGATATACCTTTTATCATCAGAATACAAAATCTAATTTATATAAACCAAGGATATAATTAAATATCTTGCATTAAATTCAATATAAATCAAGATTAGTATAAAATTAATCTTAAAAAGAGTAGTATTTATTATTATAATTAAACTTAAATAAACGAATAAGATTGTTTAAAATTTAAAATAATTTCTTATATAATTGAATTAATTTCTTCCCACAGAGATCCTGTGGTTTTAGTTGGATGTGGGCGTAAAACATATGTTGCATATTCAAAATCCAACAGTGTTGATGCTACATATGAATGAATTAAATGTGAATGATAATTATTTATGAATGAACTTTAAGATAGTAAGATAGCTACTTAATTTCTATTGAAAATTAAGATATAAATAGAGCAGATATTTAATTTAATTTTCACTTCACAAAATTCTGAATTTATTTTTTCTCTTGCGAATCCGAGAGGACTTTACACTTCCGAGTTTCAAAACAGGTTTAGTTATTAAATCATTTCGTAGGATAACAAAACAGAAAGAGTTAAGAAAAAAAGTTATTTTTTATATTAAGATTAAATTTCAATAATGATTTGAGAATAATGAATGATTGAAATCAAGTTTATTTTCTTGTTTAACTTATTACTACTGCTTGTTTTATAACTTCCCGCTGTTATGACTGGTATAAATTTTGTAATACGAGTGTATGAAATCTGTGTTTAATTCTCATGATTTTTTATTGGCCATTCAAGCATATATTATATATAAGCAGAATTTTAATTTCCAAAAATTTCTAGGAATACAATCTCAGTAGTTAGAGTTTGATTTATAACAGTATGTGGAAATACCCTATGTGAACTTAGAATTTTCCTAAGCTGGTGCTTAATAGTATATGGATTATGCTCAAATTGTTAATACTAATAGTTCAGAGAGCATAAAAGATTTATTAAAATATAGAACTATTGAGAAAATATATTAAAATCTAGTTGTCTTTGACATGATTATAACAGATAGATAGCTCCAAACTAATATTCAGTTTGCGTAAATAGGTTTTGTCAGATATAAATGTCTTATAGCAAATAATTATAATATTTCCAATAAATGATAAATCCCAAGTACAGTACTTACAGGACATTTGGCTAATTATAGGAGATATAAACCAGTGGTTCCCAAAGTGGGCACTACTGCCCCCTCGGGAGCAGTGAGTAAATCTGGGGGATGAAAATAAGCAAGGAGTGACAAGGGGCACTGGAGGCATGGTCCTGACTGAACAGCGACCATAGGTGAGGCTTCACTGGCACCTTTTCCTTTTCTCCATTAAAACGGGTAAGAAGAAACATTGCTTTTAGTGGTTTCCAGATATAAAGAACAATGTTTAATTAGAACACAAAGTGTGAGGTTCATAGAAAAGTTTTCTAAGAATACTTCTAAGCCTTTCTCACACAAAGGAAAATGGGTTGGGAGGTGTTGGTTATAAGTTTATGGAACCAAGAGATTGGTAGCTTGAAAAAGTTTGGGAATCACCTTAGAAGAAACTTCAATAATGATTAGATGCAATATTGCTCATTGAAGTATCTTCTANGATAATGTTTGACTACATGTAGCTAGGGTTTCTCAGGAATGTCTGTCATGTGCTTGGCCTTTCTTGTCTCCAGATTTGTCATCCATTGACTACTTGTGAGACCAGACGGGGCATCAGCTCTAGCCATCTACACGTATGAGGGATCTTGAGCAACAATTGCAACATTAGTGGGTAAATTTGTTTCAGGATAGTATATGGTGTCTGTATGCCACCATGCTCAACTATATCTCCATACAGCACCATTTTGAGGGTTGGTATAACCCAGTGTGGTAACTCATGGTATCACTCAATGGATCTCTTTTCATATCAGTAAATACAGGATCCTTAGTAATGTTTTTGTATGTAATAATGTTACTTATAAATCACAATTCCTATACATTACTGAAAGTAATGACAATAATGTAAATAGCAAAATTAAAATTATACCTTTAAATTATAATATCATATGCACAGCCTATGTGTATTTGCATTTATTTTTTTGTAATTGTATTATATTTGTAAAATATATAATACCTTTATATTTTTATTGCAATTTGGTAATAATGACAGCTTTGACTGGAATGGATTAAAAGATTTTAAAAGTAAATTAACATAGAGTTTTAGCATTGTAAGGATATTGATACATGTAAGCTTGGCTTACCAAAAAAAATTAACTACAGGGCTATTTGTTATAATTAACTACAGGGCTATTTTTAAAATAATAAATTTCTGCTGAAATGTTAAAATTTTATAGAGAATCCAAATCTGGATATTTATTTATTCTAAATTGTTTAATTTAAAATTAAAAAAAAATAATTACTAATAAGAAATAATGTTTGTACTGGTCTATAATAAATGACGCTGTTATCTAAACAAATTATACCCTATAAAATTGGCAACAAACTTTGCAAAGATCTTTACATGCTGTATTGTAAGTGTGAATTATATTTTGGACATAGACACTCAAATTTGAATAAAATTGTTGTTTGAAGGAGCATTAATAGGTATAAAAATGTCTAGGATATAGTCATATATTCAGTAGATCTCAGCTTTTATAACTTAATTACTAGAAAGCCTTTGTTAAACAAACTATCCTGTTTCTTATAAATCGAATGTTGTAACTTGAGATTAACACTATATGACACTGTACAGTGATTATAAAAACTTAAAAGAACTTAAAAAAAACATACAGTTATAATAGAAAGTAAGAGTTGTGTATAACTTATATATACAGTACTGTATATACAAATAAATGATTTATGATTATTTGCTTTTCAGCTTTCACTTTCTTGACTGTATGAAATGCTTTTCATTTTTGGTTTTATATATACATACTAGCTGTTACCTGCAACTTTGCCCGCGTGGATTTTGCAAGCAAACCCCATTTATATTCAGTATTTCAACAACCATAGTAATTGTTATGTAACACCTACTGCTGAGAATTGCTGAGAATCGCTGAGAATCAAACGAACTATTTTTTGGAACATTTACAATCATTCTATAATCGAACCAATATGCAATAACAAATTTGAATTTAAAACAGTTCGAACATTTGGTTAAAAAATCAAAATATATAAAAATACTTATAACAATATCTGAAATGTTATCAATTTAATACACCTGAGTATGCAATGAAGACTAAACGTAGTTGAAAACAAAAAATCGCATCTAAAATATTACAGTAGAAGCCATTCTTCAGGTTAAGCCTTAATCCTCTTCCTCTCCCCCCACGGGGGAATTTAGAAAAATCCCTTCTTAGTGTGCATTTTCATGACATACCCTAACTGTGTACCAAATTTCACCTCTTTAGTTTCAGCGGTTTGCTCTGGGCAATGATGAATCAATCAGTCAATCACTCAGTCAGTCAGGACAAGTAATTTTATATATTTAGATATTTATTTACAGTATATACACATACTGATTTCCAAAATTAAAGCAACAAACATAAATCAGCAAAGTGCCATCATAAAACATAAGTGTAATGAAATGAGGCACACCTGTGCGACAAAATGTAAAGCATTCTGAAACAATTTTCTGTATACAGCAAAATTGTTTCTGACAATTATCTGCTAGGATTGCTAACTGTGAGGAAGTCTTCTTGATACATCAGTAGCTTATTAGGCATGCCTCAGAGAAGGTATTTGGATGATTAATTCAATGGAGGGGTTGTTCATTTCTGTGTTTTTGCCATATACGTTTGTGTGTGTTGCTTTAATTTCGAACACGAGCATATATATTATGCCATGATTTCATAGAATTTCAAGTTAGAACTTTTGTTAAGTCATAAACATAAATTTAAAGTTAAAATTGTAATTTATGGAAACATGTTATGTAAAGATTAGATATGAAATATATGATAGCTATTACATAAGATAAATTGAAAAAGAATTAATGTTGTAATTTTTGTGTCTGAGTTAAATAAAGCAATTTAATAAAATCCAAGATAGGATAATGTTTAAATACTTGAAAAAACATTTCTTTAAATACAATTCTGGTCTCATTTTTCATTTTCACAAATGGCTCCTTTGATAAGTCTGCTTCAGTTCTGTTAATGTTCTACATTGGAATGTCTGCTTATGTAATGGCATGTCTTCTAAGATATGTTAATTATTTTTAAATGTTGAAAACAATATAATGGTGTTTTCTGTGGCTATGTATTTTCTAAAGTCCAGTGATNATAATAGTTTTCAAATTATTTAGGAATGGGTTACAGCAACTGCTATTCGAATTACATTGGATAGAATGAATACTTTTGGTGATGAAATTTTTGGAGATCCGAAAGTTTTGAAATCCTATTATTATGCGATTTCAGATTTTGCGGTTGGAGGAAGGTAAGAAATCAAAAATTCAAAATTTAATTTTTTTAAAGTATATTTTATGATAATATATCAATAATTTGCATTTTATAACTTTTTTTAAAGTAAGAATTTTGCCGTAGACATTTGTAAAGCATTAATATTTATTTTAAATAATAAAAGTATAATTTCATTTATACTTTTATATAAATTTAAGCTTTTTAATTTATTGAAGAGTATAATTTATATCAAAAGTATATATATATTGATGACGCTTTGCATACAACATCAAGAAATGAAGTTTCAATAAAGAAAAAAAATTGTACTGTAAATGATTACAGCTATTGTCCAATTGCAAGCCAGGTAATTTCACTAAAGTACTGTTAAAATTGCTACATCCATATCCTATAAAAAGACTTGCAGAGGCTCAATTTGTTCAGAAATTTCAGTGTATCTATTGTCTTTGAATGCCAGGTATGCCTGTACAATGCAGTCAAAGACATTAGGCATAGCTAATTGAATTTAGGAAGGCTATGTTGTCAAGCTGAAGGAAACAGGATTGCTGGTTAGTTGAATTGACTATTATTTGGGCATTATGACCTGACTGAAGAGGTGTTGGGGTATTGGACTTGTGGAAGTTGGCAGATTCTGGACATCCTAGATAGACTACTAGGAAAGATGATCATCTTATCATGAGACTAGTACAAACAGCTGCATGAACATTTTTGTTTACCATTCATAGATGAATGGAAACTTCACTAACAGAACCTTGTCTCCTCCTGTACCATAGGCAGGCAACTGTCAGAAGCAAATTTGCATGCATGACAACTACATATCCTGCTTTTAGCACCTCAACATCAGTTTCATTTGCAGTGGTGCCATGACAGAGAAGTATGGACTGATAACATGTCATCTTTAATGAGAAATACAAATCCTAGTTCTGTTTGGGAATGGATGACTACCACATTAGTGTATGAAGGACAACTAGTGAGTGCTTGCCATTAGTGTTGAGTGGCATATTATCTCCACTGTTGGCTGCTGGTTTGGAGAGCTATTTCACCTGACAGTTGGTCCCCGTAATAATTGTATAAGGGTATATTGCTTTAAATTGAATACTTTTTCTGTTATCCACAATGTAGAAGAATTCTATAAGCATTACAATATATTTTAAATTGTACTGTTGTTTTACAGGAAATTGTCTCTTTGTTATGATGTTGTAATCACTTATTACCATTTGCAGTTCAGGAAATCCTGCACTGTCAAGCATCATGCATAAATTATCTTGCTGAAAAGGCAAACAGCCATTTTTCAGCAAGATAATGTTTGACTACATGTAGCTAGGGTTTCTCAGGAATGTCTGTCATGTGCTTGGCCTTTCTTGTCTCCAGATTTGTCATCCATTGACTACTTGTGAGACCAGACGGGGCATCAGCTCTAGCCATCTACACGTATGAGGGATCTTGAGCAACAATTGCAACATTAGTGGGTAAATTTGTTTCAGGATAGTATATGGTGTCTGTATGCCACCATGCTCAACTATATCTCCATACAGCACCATTTTGAGGGTTGGTATAACCCAGTGTGGTAACTCATGGTATCACTCAATGGATCTCTTTTCATATCAGTAAATACAGGATCCTTAGTAATGTTTTTGTATGTAATAATGTTACTTATAAATCACAATTCCTATACATTACTGAAAGTAATGACAATAATGTAAATAGCAAAATTAAAATTATACCTTTAAATTATAATATCATATGCACAGCCTATGTGTATTTGCATTTATTTTTTTGTAATTGTATTATATTTGTAAAATATATAATACCTTTATATTTTTATTGCAATTTGGTAATAATGACAGCTTTGACTGGAATGGATTAAAAGATTTTAAAAGTAAATTAACATAGAGTTTTAGCATTGTAAGGATATTGATACATGTAAGCTTGGCTTACCAAAAAAAATTAACTACAGGGCTATTTGTTATAATTAACTACAGGGCTATTTTTAAAATAATAAATTTCTGCTGAAATGTTAAAATTTTATAGAGAATTATTTTGGTATCATCCTCTCTGATGGTGTCATCTGATCTATCCATATTCCACACATCTCAAGTGATGCTGCTGTCACTACATGCATCCAGGCAAGATACTAAAGGTTTCTTTAAATTGTACACCTTTTCTGTTATCCACAATGTAGAAGAATTCTATAAGCATTACAATATATTTTAAATTGTACTGTTGTTTTACAGGAAATTGTCCCTTTGTTATGATGTTGTAATCACTTATTACCATTATCATTATATTTTATACTGATAAAGTGTCATTCAATTCTAATACCTCCTTGGTGCATAATGTTTTTGATCAGTGAGAGTATCTAGATTAGTTGATCTTGTTACCAATGTACCCATTCACAATGACCAAAATTTAGATTAGTTATACAGCTGAATATCAGCAAACAAACTTATAGTAAAGTAACCCAATTTAATCTGGCAATCGTTTGGCATATAACTGATGTAAGCTTTTATATTGCAGTTAAATTATTCTTCAGAAAATTGTTCTGAGTACAACTGCTCTTAAGCTTGCCATTTTTATTCTTGGAGACTTCTTAGATGTTGGACTCATATCCATGGTTCAGTAATATCTAAGTCATATGATCTAGCTGTCCAGTATTTATTAATATGGCTTAAGAAGTTAGTATCAGATTTATTTAATAAAAATCCAATCCAGTTTTTATTTCATATCATGGAATAATCAGACTTAAAATTTATTTTACAATGTGTAATATCTGAAAACAGTACAAGTTAATGTTAATATTTACTGGCATGTGTAATATACTTTAGTATATTTTTAGCCAGAATTAAAATGGAGTATTTAAATATGTAACAAATCAAAATTTAGTTTCATTTAATACTCTTCACTAAATTAATAAGTTCATCCTGTATAATGATTATTTATTTTATTTTCAGATGTAAATGTAATGGTCATGCTAGCGAATGTGTTCTAAGCCCTGATTATGGTCATAACTATGAAAGACGCTTAGTATGCCGCTGTGAACATAATACAGATGGACCAGACTGTGAAAAATGCAAACCATTTTATAATGATCAGCCTTGGGGAAGAGCAAATGAAAATGAAACTCACGAATGTAAACGTATGTAATATTTTTTATTTTGTTAGTTTTTTATAATAGAGATCTTGATCGATTTCCATTAAAGTGAAAAAAATCGTTTGTTTTTTCTATTAAATTTTTATTTTTGACATTTAACAAAAATACAAACTTATGCCAAAATTGCAAAATTCTATTAAAAACTTTTAATAATCGAAAACAAATAAAAGTTTGATTGTTTTGAGGTGTTAACACAATTAATTTAATGCAGTTAGTTAAATTAAGTAAAATTAATAACACATACTTTGATAAACTCATTATATTTCCAACAGTTGATTTAATAAAAAGTAAGAGAGGTCGTAAAGTGTCTGTGCACATTGTCTATGTCTGTGCATGAAATGGAGACACAGACTGGTTTATCTCCATTTCATATAAGAATTTTTTACAAGATTTTTTCCATGTTATTCTGGACTTTATCTTTTTTACTGACAAGTGGAAATCATTAGTCTTCGATAGCTATTTTTGTATGTTAAAAGGCAAAGTTGTAAAATTTTTTCTTTTACAATGTTTCAAAGCAAATTACCACATATTAGATTTGAATTCAGATGAGGCTACACTATAATAGATCCACTCTATCCAATCTGTTGTTCATTGAACTTGTTATCAAGCTATTCTCTAACTGGGAGATCTAGGACATAACTTCATTCTTAGATATTTTGTAGTCACTATACAATATTTTGAATTAAAACTTGTTTCAGACAGAAATAACAGATATAAAAAAAGTATGCAATTTTTCTGGCAGTAGGCCATATTTTTGAAATCCTTTACTTTGAGACAACATATCCATCAAAATTAATGGTAAAATCATTTCAAATCATTGTTTGGGTCTTTAAAATCTTGGCTAAATTGCAAAGTTTTTCAAACTTACATTGCGTTGTCGAACCTTCTACTACCAATTCATTTTATTGGTATAATTTCTTAACAACCTGTATAAAGTGCTGATACAAGTTATTTGAACATGTCTGCTACTTTTTCCTACAAATTAGAGTTGACTTTTCTGATTATTTTATATATAAATTTTCAATATTTTCCAGTTTTCATGTTATTATTATACTCTCATTTATAATTTTTATCAATAGCATGTAACTGTAATGGAAGATCTGAAAAATGCTATTTTGACAAAACTTTATGGCAACTTACTGGAAGTGGAGGTCATTGTATTGAGTGTAGAGATAATACAGATGGTCCAAATTGTGAGCGATGTAAAGAAAATTACTACGAGCAACAAAACGGACAATGTGTTCCTTGTAATTGTGATCTTACCGGTAAGAATTATTTTAAATTACATTTAAAATTNAAGAAAAAAAAAAGGGTAGCTCGAAATTATTTATAGATAATATTTACAAAGATTAACCTTTATTTATATATATAGGCTATATTTAAAAATTCTCTCCAGAGATCTTCATCAGCTAATGATGAAGCATCCTTTAATGGTTTATTATTAAAGATAAACTAGACCTTGCCAACTTTTTGTTAATGGAACAATAAATGAAACAATGCATCTTCCGAAAGGGTAGAGACAGAGATTCGTATTCAAATCATGTCAATTTATATCAATTTATTTATTCACTGGCTCAAATCTAGTCTGCATACAGGAGCTAGAATCTGACGTTTGACTTATGGATAGTCTAAGTCAATTTTTCTCCAAACATTTTATTTGCTTCCCCTTTCAGAAAATCCGTTTTACTCTCCTTTCTCCTACTGCTAATGTAACTGTAAACAGATTTTCCCCCTACCCATTTGGATATATTTTTATTTTCATATATCCAGAAGAATTATCATCAGATTATGAAAACATATATTACGTTTTTTTTTTCTTTTTTTTTTCTAAAGTCTTCTCTGAAATATTTTTGAGAGAATAAAATTCCCAATCACAAGAGATTTAAAAAAACTCGAATTTCAACACGTTTAGTCTGCCACAGTGTTTCTAAAATTGAGGGTCGATCCCTCGAGAGCGAGATACTTAAAGAGGAGACGAATAATGGATTTTTCAGGCCAAAAAGTTTGGAGACACTGGCCAAAAGCATCGATGGAAATTCAAAGAATCTGAATATAAAACGAACTTGTTAGAAAGAAAGGGGGAGAAAAATGCTGTGTTCATTGTATTAACGGGATGGTTCAGACACGATGAGCAACATCACACAGAAACCACCCTTATTTGTAATAGAAAAAAAGGAAACTGTTTCTTGGAGGGTTTAGCTTGTAACCATCCTTCCATTTGTGAAACTTCATGCTAGATTTTAAAGAGCGTGTAGACTGTAAATCAGAATTGCAAAGTTTTTACTGTGTCTACAAACTTATGTCGTATGTAAATTCGTTAGAAATATTGGATTTTATTCAAAATTAAATCGTATTAATCTTGTTATAAAGAACAAAATTACGATGTAAAATTACGTATAAAACGGTGGTTAACACGTAAAGAAATTAACCTTTTATTCAAAGAAAAGAGCTAGCTCAAGCTATGAACTAAGCTAATTGTGTTCTGTGATTATTCTCTATTTAATTTATTACACAGACTTAAAATTTTTAATGTAATTTAAATTTTACATGCAATAGATTTTAGTGTATATAATTATATTTTTGTAGATTGCATGTGTTTTAGAGATTCCCTGAAATGTGCATGTTCTACAACTCCTGGAATGTAGATAAAATTACAACATTTTTTTCAGTTTTAGCAATATTTGAGTATAGATAGCAGAATAGCCTGTTCTTTTACAATGTCTAAAGGTAGAATTTACGTACCGTATTTATTCTATTATAAGCCGATACTGATTGTAAGCTAACCCCAGGAAATCAACAACAAAAACAAATAAAAAATGAAAATTTATTAATCAAGTGTAAGGAATAAATTTTACTCTATTTACTTGTTCAGTTGCTGTCATCAGATAACTCTGATTCATCATCACTTGATTCTTTGTCGCTATCTTTGTACAAAGCGTCTGAACTCAATTGAGGTCGAGATTGAACTCTTTTTAAACGTACCAGCGATAACTTCTCTAGACATACTTTTCCACACATGCACACAAAATTCACAGAAACTTATCTGTGGTGGCTTCTGGCGATATTTTACTGAACTTTTGACTGAGTCGGTAAAGAGCATTACTTACTTTACTGACCATATTAATTAATGATACCGATTCTAAACCAAGGAACATTTTTGGAACAATGAAAAAATTAAACAAAGGTCAGCTTACAAGTGGATAAATACAATAACTTTATCTTTAGTTTAAACATTTCAAGTGATTAAAGAAGTGGAAAAGAAAGTAAAAACACAATATTGCCAAAGTGCATGGAATATTGACTAATACTAGAAACTTACAGAAAACTATTTTAATTTTCAAAATGGATTATTGAACTTTTGAAAATTCTAATCCCAATAGATGTGAAGTGTTGAGTGTATTAATAATTTGTATATAAATATAAAACTTAAAAAAGAAAATGATTACACAAATAGGTTCACGCAATTTACAATGTAACAATCAGGGACAGTGTTTGTGTAAACCAGGTGTAACGGGTAAACAATGCGATCATTGTGCAGCAAATTACTACGATTTTACTTCACAAGGTTGTAGGTAATATTCAGTTACATAGTTTCATACTTGTAATTTATTTAGTGTAATTTCTATAGGAATATAATATTTGATAAATTTAATTCATTACTTTTCTTAGACCGTGCGGTTGCAATATAGCAGGTAGTATTGGAAATAATCCAACCTGTGATCCCGTTACTGGTGTTTGTCAATGTAAAGACAATGTTGAAGGTCAAAGATGCGAAAGGTAATTCTTTTTTAAAAATTTAATGATACAAAGAAATATAATGGAAATATTAGTTTTATATAAAGTATTAAATATTAAAATATAAGAAGAAAAACTTAAAAAAAGTGTAGTCTCTCTTAATTTTAATCATATGATAACATTGCTATTTTACTTAGAATGTCTGCGAATGGAGAGAAATTTAAAACAAATTATTAATTATTACATAAATTTCAAGAAAAAAGTTGGCATAAGCATTTTGACATTTGACTATTCAGCACATTATAAGTTTTCAATGTAACTCACCTCATTAAATTATTATTTTATCTCATATTGAACTTTCTTAAATGTTTTTATATTCTTCCATCATTAAGACAAATAATTTAAATTAATTATGGTAGTAAAACAAAACAATTTGGTAAATAAAATTAATTTTCAAAAATAAAAACTAATTTAAAAATTTTCTTAGGTGTAAACCTGGCTTTTTTGATTTGAAAACAATTAACGAGTTTGGTTGTTTGCCGTGTTTCTGCTTTGGACATTCTTCACTTTGTCGAAGTGCGCCCGGTTACTCTTCTGTTCTTATCGAAAGTACATATGCGAGAGGTAAAAACAAATATATTTCTGACTTAAAATATTAAGCAGTAGTTTATGAGAAAAATATGTATAAAATTTTATTTTGTTTTTAGTTTTAAAATTATATTTGAAATTTTTTTTATAATAATTCTATTAATCTATAATAATTTCTGTAATAATATATAATATTTTGTATATTCTATAATATATATATATTTCTATAAAATTCTATTCTATAATAAATCTGCTTTTTTATTTTGCATCTTTCGGATTTAAATATCAGATAAGGTAAATTATATGTATTTTAACATTATGCATACATAGTTTATTTGTGAAAGTGAAAGTAATTAGACTAATTTTTTAAAATATATTGTTATAAAACAGCCCTTTTGAAACTTACTTTGTTATTTGTATTCTGAATAATTGTGAAATAATGAAAGGTTGATTCTATTGTAAATGTAATACAAGAATATCTAGCAGTGTTATGCTATCAAATTTTATGTTGACTTCACAAGAGTGTGACAGATATATCTGACCTGTTACTTATGATTTTTCCTTCTCTCTCTTCTCTAAATTGAAGAAGCGCCCAAAAGAACACCTTTTTTTTGGTAATCGGAAGCATGCGAAGAAGCATAACCATTGCATTGAGGGATCTCGCAGGAGAATATTCACAGAAATGCCTTCAGAGGTGAAAGAATTTATGAGACAGCATGTCACTTTTGAAGGAAAAAAGGTTAAAACAATGACTTTTACAATAAAATTTTCTTTAATATCAGTCTGATTACTTTCACAGCAGTCTTTATGTACGTTAACATTGAAAAGTATTTTAATATAGTTTAATATTCTGTATATAGTATTTAATAAATAATATTTTTAATTAGATAGTGAAAGATGGCATGCAATTGATTACTATGGAAGAGAAGTTCCTATTGCATACAATGCCATTGAACAGCTTATAAGTATTAATTCTCTGGGAAGTGAAACTGTCTACTTTTCAGCACCAGGTATGTAAGCATATAAAGATTTCTAATTATTATAATCGTATATTCCTATAATCAAGATTACAGAAATTGGGTTAATAAGGAAAAACAATCTTGAGGATAATGATGGGACTGAATTTTCCTTATCAAATGTGTTTAATGAACATCTTTCAAACTAGCAAAATTTTTAATATAGGTGACTGTTTTTGGCTTTAAACTCGGTCATTTTCAGGCTATGTCATTCTATCTGGAAAACATTTAAATTTTTGCCTTTTATTATGGAATGATGTAGCGTAATGATGACTGAGTTTTAAAATTTGCATTAAAAATCTGATTGTTAATTAATTGTGTAGTTGTTAATTTTAATTCAAAATTTTTTAAAATCAATTAACAGAATATTAATTATTTTTTTTCAAACTATTTATTTAGCAAGATTTCTTGGTGATCAGAGAGCGTCATACAATCAATTCTTAAGTTTTGTTTTGAGAATTGGTGAAGAGGGACCTCAAGTTACTGTTGAAGATATTGTATTGGAAGGATCAGGATTATCGATATCTACACCAATTTTTGGTCAAGGAAATCCACTTCCCACTATTTACAATCAACATTTTAAATTCCGCCTTCACGAACATACGGAATATGGATGGAATCCACGTCTTAGTGCTTTAGATTTTATCAGTTTGCTATCTAATGTGACTAGAATTAAAATAAAAGGAAATTATGTTCCTGGAGGTATGTTGAACAGTTTAAATATTTACTGTGTAATTGAATATTTGAATACTTATAAAAAATAACAAATATTTTATAAAAATTAATTATGCTATTGTCAAATATTTCAAATCAATTAAATCTTGTTTTGTTTTTAATTTTAAGCTCAAATTCAATCTAATAATACAAAACTTTATAATTGATATTCAACTCTTAACATTTAACAAGTTGCTGTAAATTGTTTGCATATTTTTTCACTACTTCCTTATATTATTATACTATTAATGTCCAAGAAACTTGATAAAATACCAATATATTGTGAGTATAATATGTGAATGTAGTTCATCAGCAAAGGCAGGATCAAGAAGTTAGACAAAACACTAACAGGAACATCTGATATATAAACAAAATGAAAAAAATTTATTCTTATCGGATTTACACTTACAGTATTTTTTTTTACTGGGATTCCAGCTACGGTCGGTGACGAGCAATTGTTTCCTTCCCATTTTTCTCGCGTTGTGATAATTTGATGTTAACCTGAAGTTACAAAAATAAAAGCCGTTCATGTGTTACAATAATTAGAAACTAAGTGTAGCTATAGAACTATCTTAAAATCTAAAACAAGAAGATCTAGAATAGGACACACAAAGAGAATAGAGATAAATTATAGAAATACCCAGGATATTTTTTTCCATTGGGATGATACATTTACTTTCCAATGAAGAGTGGAGTCCACAACGAAGTCTTCATATAAAGTTCCACTTCTTTCTTTAGGTGCAATAGTTCTCTGATCAAAATTTAATAATTCAGTGATTTGATTTGTAAATGAAAATGTCACAGAATAAAGATTCATTTTGTAAACTTAATTTTTTTTCTCTCCAGGAACTGGTTTTCTTGATGATGTTAGATTAGAGTCTGCTCAGAGATCCCCATTTGGACAAGAAGTAACTTGGATTGAAATGTGCACTTGTCTCGAAGGTTATGTCGGACAGTTCTGCGAATCGTGCGCACCTGGTTATCGTCATGATCCTCCTGGCGGTGGTCATTTCGCTAGATGCGTTAAATGTAATTGTCACAATCATGCTGAATACTGTGATCCTGAAACTGGTAAGATATAAATATTTAATTTATAAATTTTAGATTAATATTTGAAAATGTCTTAAACTTATATAATGTGGGGAAATTAAATATTATATAGAACCTTTGAATATTATTTTAAAATATAAATAAAAACTTCTTTTTAAAATATTGATAAAATTATTATTTATGTTTATAGTTCAGTGTATAATAAGTATCAATATAACAAACATTGAGAAACCCAATATGTATATAGAAATATCATCAAATGATCACCTAAATAATTGGGCTATAAATTCTAAATTATTTAATAAATTATTAAAATTATAATTATTAATTTAATTAAGAGATGGCACCTAATATCTATCTCTAGTAGCAAATTACTTAGTGTTAATTATTAAAATTAGAAGAGTTATAACCCGATTATTTAGATAATCATTTGGTGATGTTTCAGTGTATAATTCAATATATAATGATGTTCTCTCATAAATAATTGATAAAAATAACATAAATATGTATCTTATTAATGGTGATGATGAAGTAAACAATCTCAAGAACAGTTTCTTTGAAGAAGTTTATATAATAAAGGAATTTAATGAAGCAAAACTTAATTTAAATCCTGTTTTATTTGATCATAATGTAGATTACTGTATTATTTTATATATAAAGAAAGCACTTCAACTCACTGAAAATCAACAGATGAGTCGCATGCTTTACAAACAATCTGTTGAGAGAAAAATGATAAACACAAAACTCGAGATAATTTTTAGCACATAAGTACTAGTGTCATGTTTTCCAGCTTATTGCTACAAAATCATTTTTAATCAACAGAAAACAATTATTTTCATTTTAATATTGTATGTTTAAAGATTCATCAATGAGATTTTGTCTTAAAATTACTCAAATAAGTCAAAAAATTAAGGAATACTTTTGCTTTTATTACTTAAAGCACCTTCAGATCAGTTTTAAAGAAAAAGAATTGTTAATAAATCTAAGTGTACATGATATTGAATCTTTTTTGCTAAAAATATATGAGATGTGATCACTCATTGTTATCTGGATGATGAAACATTTCTGTCAAATTGAATCCATTATTAGATACTAGGAATTTTGCACGTTCAGACTATTTTTTTTCCTTAAACTTTTTTTAGATTAACTGTTATGGAAGTTAATATATATAAAATTTATTCAGATCTAAATTTTAATTCAAAACAGTTTCATTTTCAACAATTAATATGAATTTCTCCAAAAGAAATTAAAGATTTGTTACAGTGGAACTTGTGATAAAATGGTATTAATGAGGAACATAAAGATAAAGTTAATCTCGTCATTATATCTTAAAGGCAAAAAGATGTACAGGTAATGGGTATACAGATCTCAACATGGGATCTTGAATAGAAAATCTCTTAGCACTTCTATTCAAATATATCCAATCAGCACATTTACATCACAAACAGATGTTAAAACTAGCCCACTTGTTACATTACACATCCTTTTTTAAATATAATAAAACATACCTCCAGAAATGGGAACCACCTGTGGACAGTTCCTTTTCAGAGGACTTATATGAATTGGTAGTCAGACAACTGGAAAACAAAATTTTAATGGAGTTTCTACTGAATTTTATACTATACACCAGAGTACAGTATATTGACAATATCTTGATCATATGGAAATCAAACCCAAATAGAAATAGATTTCAAATAATTCTTATATTATTTTATACATAATATAAAATAAATGTACATTTCCAAGGAATAAAAATATTACAGATAACCTATATATTGATATATCTTAGGTCGTTGCATTTGCCAGCATAATACTGCTGGTGATAGCTGTGATCGATGTGCACCTGGTTATTATGGTAATGCTCTTCAAGGGACACCAGATGATTGTCAGCATTGTCCTTGTCCAGATAGAGGAGCGTGTGTTATTCTTCCGGATGATCAAGTTGCATGTCTTCAATGCCCTCAGGGTTATACGGGTAAGTAATTCTGTATCGTTTCATTTGAAATATTAATATTTTACATGCAAAATTTATATATATATAAGATTAAAATTATGAATACTGAGAATTTTTTAAATGGAAAGAAAGGAAGAATTTTAATAAATATATGTATTAAAGTTTGAATTAAAATTTAAAATAAGAATAATTGAGACAGAGCATTAGCAAAACTTCCATGTGGCTTATAGAATTGAGTACATTTCCAAAATTTGATTGGTCGATTTTTGATTAAACTTTCTCATTTTACATAATATGAGATGAGGATATTTAAATGTAATAAAAATTGGGAGTTCATGATTTTTGTTTTTACAATACATTGGGATTAAAGTAACAGAATCCAAGGTTGCTAGCGCAAGTGTGTGCAATTTTTTAAAATTCTTTTTTATGCCGGCAGCAACATCACTACCGGTTTGGAGAGACCATCTATGAAGATCGATATGATTATCATAGATGGTCTCTGTTGTCTTGCTACGGCTTTGACTCAATTCTTAGTTCATATTTGGACAGAAAACAAACTGTGCCAAGTTTATAAAGCTATTGAAAAGCAGGAATGTATTAAAATCTTAAATGGCACCAATTACTAAAGTTGGATTTAGTCTTTTAAAAATGACTGAGGGTACCAAAAAGAAAGGTCGATGCCATTAAGGTTCTTTAATGTGCTACTTGCCTTTCAATAAATTTATGAATTATCTTCATTTTAAATTTTAAATTGTGTTAAAAAATTTCGCACTTAAGTGGAATTATAATTTTTGAATCATCTTAAAACTTATTTAAATAACTTAAAAGTTTGTGTTCTTGCATAGAAAGAAACATTAGAAAATGCAATTTACCTGATAAGAAGGATTATTTTTCTATCAGAGAATTAATATCTTTATAAACAATTAGTAATCTCATATATTTAGACAAGTTATTAATATTTGATTATCGTTAATAATTACAAAAAAATTGATTGATTAGAAGTACATGTATCATCTACTTTATTTATGCCATTTAAGTTATTAATTTAATGTTTAATTCGAATTAATAATACTTTTTTTTTCATTTGGAATTGCATTATCTTTCTAAATTTACATTTTTTATTAGATACATAATTCTGAAATGCATTTTGCCATTGAAATTGAATGCCGTGAGTTTATCATTATTAGAATAAATGACTCTTCAGATCTTGTATCAGTCATTGGAGTGCAGAGTATATTTTACAGTTTTTCCAACAGAAAACAAATTCAGATTAAATGTTAATTCAATAAAATCTACTAAAATTAATTAGTTTTGATCAACTTTAATGAAATAACATTAAGAGATTAATACCATTTAATTCTAAGAAATTTTATCTGATAATCAATGTGTGGCAAATATGAATTTGACACTTAAATTGCAATCATAATTTTTATTAAAATACTTTTAAACAACTTTTACAGGTCATAGATGCCAATTATGTGTCGACGGTTACTATGGAGAACCCAACTTTGATCAACAATGCAGGAAATGCGAATGTAATGGAAATATTGATCTGAATGCTATAGGCAATTGCAACACGTAAGAAAATTATTTTTTACAATAAATTCTTGTTTAAAATTGAAAAATAAGAGAGGATTCTACACTTGACCTTGTAAATTCAATATAGGAATATATTTCTTGTCTTCTTTTGAAACATCCAGTATTTGAAGGTTATGCTAATGCAGGGCCAGCTAATGGGCAGTGCAAATGATGCAATCGCACAAGGTCCAGCAATCCTACATGATCCAACTCTTGCGAAATTTAAAAATTGATCATTTCATTATTTGCTAAGTTAACTAACTTTCCCTAATCTATTTAACATGTATGTTTACCGTTAAAATATTATTTTGTTGTTCGAAATTGCTATTTCTTTTTATTAAAAGACCCAGTACGACAACCTTGCACTGGGCCCCACTATTTCTCGGGCCGGCTCTGTTCTAATGTTTCATAAACAAAACATTTTAGCAAATTAATGTTAAAATATCAAATATTAAGTTTGCATCATAATTTGTTTGTTATAATATTGTCTAGATTATTTATTTGTTTTCTGGTTGGCATTGTGACTGATTTTGATCACTTTTGTAAATATTTGTGCAAAGTAAAAATTTTTTTTCTTTGACTTTTGTTGCTTTTACAACTATGCCAAGGAGACTTTACAGCAGCTTTTTGTTTGAGTAGACTTATTCATGTCGGTTCTCCTTTTTTGAGCTTGAGTAACATCTTTCCTATAAAATTTCATTAACTTTCTTTAAAGAGATTAATTATACTTCTAACTAATCTCTTGTCATGAGAGCAATAGATCCTTTAAGTCAATGTGCATTAGGATTTTTCCTCTCACTTGTACAGCACAATCTATGTGGATTGTTAACCTCATTTCTCTCATGCAATTGTTAGTTTATATTATTAAGTTAATTACAATTTTTTTTAACTTTATCTTGTTTCATTTTAATTCATTTGTTTTATGAATATATTCATTAAATCTTTAAAAGCTTGTAGTTCTTCTTAACTTAAAACTTAAACTTTCAAATACTATTTTAAAATATTCTTTGTTCTTTAGAACTTCAGGATGATTCTAAAATTTTGTATTCGGATCTGAAGATGGAATAAAGCAACTTCAATAATAAAGTTTTTAAAAATTAATTATTTACATATAACATAAATTTTTAATGTAAAATAATATCTTGTAATTTATAACAGAAGATGAATGCATTGTCAACTGTAGATCTGTACCATAAATTACATGAATATTCTGCTTTTGCTTTAATTAATATTGCTTATTTGACTACCTTTAGATAGTTATCTACCATACAGTTGATATTGTCTCGCAATCCTTATTATTAATACAATTTCCATTAATTGTTGTGGTAGTGTGTAAGGTTCTCTAGTGAATAAGTAACTGTTCCAGCCTTAGAAATTTTGTAATTTGATTCTTAACTTTATTATTGTATATATAATTAATTTTAAAGATTTATCAAATTATTTTATAGTTATAAATCTTAAATTCTGTACATTATTTAAATGCATTATAAATTTTAAAATAATCTAATGCTATATAATTTATAAAGAAAGCAATTCAAGTATGAATACTTTTGCTTTTGTTACTTCAGTTTTATAGAATAAACATCCGAATCAAATATAAACTTTAAAATCTAAATATAATATACTTATTAATTTTATAATTAAGGATGATTAACTAAGGTCTAACTAACAGCTTAATACGATGACTAGATGTGAGAACATAATTTTTATTTCCTTGAAAAATTATTTATTTGCCTTATTTATGTTAACATTTTGCAGGTTTGTAGTCTTACACAAAAATTTTTTACAACTAAATGAGTTAATTTTGTATATTCTCTTTTCTTTTTACATATGTTATGTATTTATTAAATGCCTTTATCAATCTATGGAGTATGCCATCATACTCTACTAAAATTGCATCTCTTCTTGGTCAAATATATTATATACTAAAAAATTCTGAAGCTTCTCATAGATGTCTGGATTCTGAAAAAGAATTATTGAAAGCCAATTGTGATTTTATAGAGAAAATATTTTCAATCCTTGACATATTTATATATTAATACTTATTCATGTTAGAGAATAAATATAATGCTGGCAAATTTAGTTTTATGTTATTTAGGTAATTAAATAATCATTAAGTATATAAACAGTTGTAAAGGATTTTGTATATGCAGCAGCTACAGTTTGTATTTTAAAACATATAGTAATTTCTTGTCTAAAGCCTGTAGAGGTTAAAAGAAACATTCTCTGCAGAAATGGTATACATTTTATATACAGTATATTTAATCAGCTCCCCAACCTGAGTTAAATCCTGTCATATATTTTCTTAATTTTTGCTCTTAAAGTTCATATTTGAATTAATTTTGAATTCTGGAACTTTGCATGATTAATTAAGGAAGAAAAATTTTCTGCTTTGGTATTTGCTACTTTTACAACTCTGCAAAAAATACTCCCCTACATCTGATTTGTGAGTGTATAGCACTTTGTTCTGGTATATTTTATCGAACATAGGTGAACTGTATAACACTGTAACTATATTTACATTACCATTATAAATAAATTGATGTCCTTGTAAGATAATTTATTATTTCTACTTGACAGAACTAATGGTGAATGCTTAAAATGCATTTACAACACTGCAGGTAGACATTGTGAGAAATGTCTTCCAGGATATTACGGTAATGCCCTCTCGGTTCCAAAAGGAGATTGTCAAGGTATATATATATAAAGATAAAATAATAACTCAGTCTTTATTATTATATAAAAGTATTATTATATATTATAATTATAATTCTTGTCATTTTTTAGCTTGCAATTGTTATCATTATGGAACTTTAGAACAAGATTTATTTAGCAATGTACTTATTTGTAACGAAAAAACTGGTCAGTGTCCTTGCAAACGAAATGTCGAGGGACGTCAGTGTGACAGATGCGCAGAAGGATATTGGAACATAACTAGTAACAGTGGATGTGAATTGTGTGACTGTAATCCGGTCGGTTCGTTTAATCATACCTGTGATATTCGCACCGGACAATGTTTTTGCCGTCCGGGTGTTATGGGAAGGAAATGCGATATGTGTTTAGATTTCTTTTATGGATTTTCTTCGGAGGGTTGTAAATGTAAGTGTTTTTATGACTTTATAAATCATAAGTTGTATATTTTATAAAAAATTCAATTATTATTTTTATATTTTGCATGCTTATTTTTGATTTGCTTTATTCTTAATTAAAATTATTTATATTTTTACAGATTGCGAATGTGATTCTGTTGGATCCTTATCATTTCAATGCGATCCCTCGGGACAATGTAAATGCAAACCAAATGTTGAAGGTAGAAGGTGTGATCGGTGCAAAGAAAATAAATATAATAAAGAAGCAGAATGTATCGGTGTGTATAATAAAATATTCCATGTTTTAATTTGTATTTTTTAATGATTATTAATGCTTATCAGATTTATAATTTGATAAGCATTAATAATTAAACATAAATTAATTATAAACTGATGTAAATTAAGTTTAAATATCTGAATTCTTTTTGGATTTTTGTCTGCTTTTAGAGGTTTTTGGGTTGCAATTTTCAAAAATTTCAGACCTATAAATTTCCACTGGCATCTACTGTCTGTCCTTCCTTAGTCTCAAGAACAGAATTAGATAGATGGAAGTCAAGATTATATATGGAAAGCTTAGAGACAGAAGGCCCTGTTTAACTATATACAAACTTCTGGTTTATACCGGAAGTCAAGTTATTTCAATTTAAAAAATTTCCCTGAACAGAATTAGATAGATGATTTTATTGTTAACAGGAAGAGTATGATGTACAGGGGCAAGACATTACTAAAATTAAAAACATTGTAACGAAAAATTTCAACCCTGCATTGTGACGATATCACAATAAATAATTGCATATTAGTTTTTTTAAATTTTCATTGATGTTTTGTATTATTTAACAAACTTTAAATAATGTAATTAGAGCTAACTTCATAAATGTGTCAACTGTAGCACAAATTTTGCATAGAGTCCTGCACTTAAAGGAGTCTCAAACTTTTTTAATGCTCAGTTCTTGGTATCTTGAATTTCATTCTCATTCAAATTTAACTTCTGAATGTTAAAATAAAATAATTTGAATGTAAGTTCAAATATATTTAAAAATACAAAGATCATTGCATATAAATAACACGTAAATAAAATAAACGCATATATAAAAACTAAATCGATAAATATAAGAAACATTAAAATCAAATAAATACAAAAAATCATTAAAAAATGAACTCCCATCTATTAAATCAATTGACATAAATAGTTCATTCTACAGCTATTGTGTGGCTTTGTGCTATTTGTGTACAGTGTGCACAAATAAGGACCTTCATGCTGCCGACAGGGAGTTAATGTCCTTATTATTGATAGAATGGAGCAGCAATATATTAATGAGCATTTACAGGAAACCTTCCTACAATCCTCTGTTCCTTCCTTGGCATTTTCCATGACCCTCTCAACTATAAACTAGCAGTATTCCAGGCATTGATCAAGAGAGTGCATACACATTACATGGGTGCTTGGGATAGAAACAAGGAATTTGGATTACATCATTTTTATTGGTGTGAGATTTGGTTACAAACATAGAACCATTAAAACTGTCATTGATTCATTCCAACAAAAACGGAGGAACATTCCAGGAATTCTTCACAAGCTGAACACCTTATCATGGACTACACTGCTCCCCTGTAGAATATCTTTAAGGAGATAGGCAACTCCATTGATCACACCATCATTTACGGAAGAAACCCTATGGTTTGTAGGTTATTATAAAATGATAAGGATCCCCCAACATGGTGCTGGTCCCAGGTGTTTAAAACATACCTGTAAAAGAGAGCAGACTTGCACACAATCCCTACTACATCAAGGCCACTTTGAGATCCATCCAAACAATACTTTAAAAAACACAAGGATGATGACAGAAAATCCAACCCTAATACCATCTTAGCAGTGTATGCCATCGCTAATCAAGATTCTATGAGTATTGAATAGGATCGAGCCCGAAACATTCAAAAGAATGGGAAACCATCAACACATTCACTATGCAGAAGCTTTACATATTTACAGAGTGACTTATAAGGGACATTCAAAGAAGGACCACACTCCCTGTCAGCATCATGGACGTCCTTCCTTGTGCACCCTTTACACAAATAGCACAAAGCCACACGATAGCTATGGAACGAATTATTTACATCATTTGATTTAATGGATGGGAGTTCATTTTTTAACTGTTTTTTGTATTTATTTAATTTTAATGTTTCTTATATTTATCAATTTAGTTATGTGTTATTTATATGCAATGATTTTTGTATTTTTAAATATATTTGAATTGCATTATTTTAATATTCAGATGTTAAATTTGAATTGGCATTTTGGCATTCAATGTAGCACTCTACAGAAAGATGGATGTTAAAGACGTCTGAAAACATTATAGTTAGTTTTTTTTTTCTTTTGCTGTTCCAAGATTATCGTTGTGTGAATTTATTTATATTTGCAAGACAGTTCTGATTTACTTAAATTAGTGGTTCAATCAATATTAATGAAGTATGATATGTAATATATTAAACTAATTTTATTGTAAAAATGAAAATTAAGTTTATTTTTAAACTAAAATAATTTCCCAAAATTTTTTTTATTACTCATATAATTATAATTCATATTTACATATTATTAAGCAGAACTTCTGATATTTTTTAACAATATCAATCAGTTTTTTCTTAAATACAATAAAGTATGTGAAAAAATCGAAATATTTAATCAAAATTTCATCTAGGCTTTATGTAAACAATATCAGACTTAAAATAAATATGTGTAAATGAAATAAGCTATGTTTATGGAAGTAAAACTGCTTATTAGATCTGAATAAATGTTACAAAATATTAACTTTAGTTCTTTGTATTTCTACTGGTAACAATGATTCTTCTATCTATTTTATCTGTTTCTTCTCTTAGAACTTCTCATTCTTTGAATTGATAAAGACTTTGTAATCACTCTATAGATTTTATGTCAGTATTCAAGATAAGAAAGATTATATCAAATAAAATAATTTATAATAATTGCAGACTGTCCTGCTTGTTACAACTTGGTTCAGGATGCAGCAAATGAACACAGAGCTAAGTTAGCAAAATTAGCCGAACTTTTAGAAGAAATTGAAAAGAATCCTCAAGTGATAGATGATGTAAATTTTGAAAATAAACTTGCAGAGATTGAACAACGAGTGAAAGAGTTATTAGAAGAAGCTCAAAATGCTGCAGGTATTTTTTTTATTTGACGAATTTACGTTAGTTCATTTGATTATTAATTTTTATTTTATTTTATATTATTTTTTTAAGGCGTCGATGGCAATTTGGTAGGTCAGATAAATGACCTTAAAAGAACTATTGACGAAATTAAAAAAACTTCTGGTAAAATTGCTGGAAAGATAAAAGACATAGACATTATTAGTGGCGAAAGGAATATTTCGCTTGCGGAAGAGATTATCGAGAGAGCCAAAGAAGCCTTAACTGCAGCTCGTCGTCTTTTGGAAACCGAAGGTTTATCCGCACTTCAGGAAGCAAAAGAAAGATCTGATCAATTTGGACAACAATCAGAAAGGATGTCCCAAATTGCAAGAGAAGCTAGACAATTAGCTGATGAGTTAGTTTTCAAAGTTTTTATATTTTCATTTTAAAACTAAAAATAACATTTTGGAAGTTTTCTATAAATAATTTATAGAACTGTTTTACATTATACATTATGGCATGTATGGCATTACACATTATATTTTGTTTTCAAGAATAATTTGATGGAATAAACAAATTAATTAGTTAAATCCCTGAAGAATGAAAAGAAAATAACAAATATATATAACATGGATGAAAGCCCAACTCTCATTGTTAAATATTAGATTATTAAATTAAAAGTATACTTGCAAAGAATAAAATAAATTTGGCAATGTGATGAGCCAACAATGCTTGTTATTACTCTGCTATGTATTATATTTCTTATAATGTATTCTATAGTACATACAGTAGAACCTCGATTATCCGGACTAATTGGGGATGAAGGTAGTTCGGATACAGAAAAATTCGGATAATCGAAACAAATACTTTAATTTGTCTTTTAATGATAATACAACACGTTTTCTTTTTGATGACATATTGGTAATATTAAAAATAAATACTGTATTTAAATCGTGATCAAATTTTCAAGAAACAAATGTTTGTATTGAATTTGGACTACTACTGACCAGAGCTAACAGACTACCTATTGTTTAAAAGTCCTTCTGGTGGCGCAAGAAGACTGATTTTATAAAATAAAAAGCAGTTGAAACTGCATTTTTATGAATAAAAATTTGACAAACTATTTATCATTTTATGACGAGTAAAATTTTTTCGTCGTGTTCTCGGATTTCAAGTAATGCATAAATCTTCGAGGCGCGAGGCCCTTCGACTGCGAGGCATAGGCGGTGGCCCACGTCGTCCATGCCTTACGCCGCCCTTGGTCATAGAAATGATGTAATTTGAATATAAATTGTTTACAAATATGTATGTCAAGTTATATTTTTATTACAACGTAAAATATATTTAAGAGTTTACGACCACTATACTGGGTGAGACGCCGTTAAAACAAAAAAAAGCTATGCATTCCATCGCGTACATAAACAGTGTCGTAATTCGCCAAGTGCAAATCAGCAAATTCATAAAATTTTTGTTTATTTTGAACAATCCGGATAATCGAAAATCTGGGTAATAGAGGTCCGGATAATCGAGGTTCCACTGTATATAGTACATATACATACACTGTAGCACATTACTATAGTAAGCGTGCTACAGTGGTTTTGTAGTATATTGCACCTAGTTTGACCATGTGGAATAAAATGAAAGAAAATAATTTCATTGGATATCCTATGTAAAGATCACTATTACCATTGCCAAATGATCTACTGGATTTTATTTGGCTATATTTTAAGGCTACCTAATAATCAGAATTAAAACAATTTGTTTAGCAGATCATTTGTAAATGTTAAAGTATTGGATTGTTGTAATTTATATGATTATCATTATCTTCACGGAGGATATATTTTATCAAAACTTGTGCTTTTGCAGCAATTCTAGATATTGCCACTCAACAGACTGACATTTAACTTCAGGTTCATAGGCTTTAGTCCATGTTTCAACAAAATAAATGATTCTATTCAACATATTTCAGATATCCACTTTTAAACTCTATTCAGTTTATATGACACCTACTTCACAACAATTTTATAAATGTGTAGATCTTGCAAAATCCTATGCACAGTTGCTTGGTCAACAACTGTATGTGTCTGACTTCTTCAGAGACCATTGCCTATCTTCTACCATGCATTGGGCAATTGTGGCACAAACAAGATTGGTATAAACAATTATGGGGCATAAAAATAACAATAAAGCAAACTGTCTGTTGGCCTTAAAGTTGTTTATTTTCAATTTCTATTACATTGCTGTCAATACAATCTAATGCCTAAGTGCATCTCCATTAAGTATGTATCCTTTCCACCATATATCAGACCAACTCTTCCAAAGGTAGAACGTAAGTTATAGTTACGGGGCATCTTGTACTGTACATGTTATGTTGAAATTTGCTTTTCTTCCATATTGGAAGAGAACAAGTCACCTTGCAATAGTTCTGCATGGTAGAGCCTGATTACCCAAAACTTCCACAAGCTCTGTGTGACATTCTCTCATACTTTTGCCATGGAACAGTGTGCAAACTCTGTAAGCACACTGTTCTGATTGACACTAACATTCATTCTTGATAAAGATTGAAAATGCACTGACTTTGCATTTGACTTCTATCCATGTTCTCAAACATCTGCACTGTCCAGTGGTGGCATTAAATACTAGAGGTTATGATTTTTCAATAGCATGTGTTAAAGTTTCAGTTGGAGCTTGGGAGCAAGGAAAAGAGATGCTGTTATGACTTATGAAGTAACTCTTGTATAGTATTATATGTAGCATTAAATTTCTCTGAATGATTTTCTAAATAAAGTTATAACAATCATCGTTATTATTTCTTCAAAGAATATACGGGTTACTTACTTTAGCTCCAGTGATTGATAGCTGTGGATAGCATGTAGTAACAGCACAACTTACTGCTCTGATTTGAGTCTAAATATGACTCACAAATTTTCATAGGTAGTTTGATCCAGATATGTTTGGCTCTATTCCTCATCATCTATGTTGATATTTAAAATATTTTCTCTTGATCAAAGCCTGAATCGATTACTGAACATAAATCTAAATTACCAAATGATTTACAGGCTATATTAAGGCTAATTTTTAAATAATTTTGGAGGAGATCAATCTGGAAATGAATTAAAATCCACAACTGTAACTGGACAGACGTGTTATCAGTTACATTAAATTTAGCTAAAAATTGGATAAACAATTATTTGCCTTTAAGCCAAATTTTCATAATAATTAATTAAAAATTAGTATTAATATAGTCTGAAAATAAACTGTTGATTATTCGGTTCGTATTTAGTCAATAATATGATTTTCGCAAAGCAACTTTAACAAGTCTTAATAACTGAAAACTTAATATCTATAGAGTAATATATTGAATATACATATTAATATTGTTTAATAATTAATTGTTTCATTTCAGTCACATGAACGAAGCAAATCTTATAACCGAATTTGCTAACGATGCTTTAAATACTTCATCAGAAGCGTATCGTTTAGCTAAGGATGCCATTGATTCACAAGATCAAACTATAGCTGAAATATATGAATTAGAAAAACAGTAAGTATGAGTATATACAGTATCTTAATTAATTTATTAAAGTAAGTTTTTTAAAAGTAGCATTTTAAATAACATGTCTATTATATAATACAATATTTTCAGAATTGATAAAGTATCTTATTCTCTTGGTGAAGCATTGGAACTTGGAAAACAAAGTTTAGATGATGCAAGGGATGCTTATAATGATGCTTTAGATACATTTACGAAAATTCCTAAACCTTTGGTAATCGAAGTCGACACTGACGGAATGAAGCGTAGAGCCGAAGATATTATTGAAAGAGTGAGGATTTCATCATATTTAGGAAGCAGATTTGTTTAACTATAAAATATTAATAGATTTTTTTGGTATATTATTGATATATATGTATATTTTATTATAAGGCTAAAGAGATTCAAGAACAAACAGACAGAACTTTGGAAGAGCATCGGCCTAAAATGGAAGAACTGCATAATAAAAGTGGAGAACTTCAAGCTCTTTTAGATCGAGCCGATAAGGCACAACAAGTATGATAATCAATATTTTAAATATTATTTACGAACAATTATGATGTATCTAAATATGTAGATCTATCATAATTCAGATATAATATATTAACAATATCAGATATGCTAATAAATGTTTAGAAGAAATATTCCGGATGTTCTTTAGAATTTTTAAAATTTAAATTACATATTTTACCCGATTATTCAAAATTTTTAGATATATATAAAAGAGAATTTTTGCTTTGTAAATAGATATAGCTACGAATATAATAAGAATAAATAGTGTTGATATCTTTCAATAAATTTAATGATTAGAATTAAGTTAATTAATTAATAAATGCTTTACAAACACATGGAAAAGGAGATTGACCTGGAACTCACAACTTCTGAAAATCATATATGTATTGTATGTATGTGTGTATATATATTCTTATACCAAGAAAAAAATTTAAAACTGACCTAATGCAATAGTGAACAAAAGTATCTCCGAATGGCAAGACAAGTTGACCTTTGTGCTTGTAATATAACTTTAAATTATATGCAAATTTGGAAATGAAGACTGAAATAGAGGTTTAGATAGTGTATCTGACAATACACCTGCCCAACTTTGCAGAAGTTGCGGGTCTGAATTCTACTCCAAGAATTCTAAGTTTTTTTTTCTTTTTTTGTTTTGTTTTTTTATTTTATTGCTACGTATTTAGCTATTAGTTTAGGACTTATCACACCATGGTTTTTAGGAAACTGTAGTGTGATAAGTCCTAAACTAATAGCCAAAATCCAAATTATTTATTAATTAATTAATTCTGATCATTCAGTTTAATAACATGATTGAAGTTCTGCCTTTAATGTCAATTATTTAATACCATATTTATTTGAATCTGTGATGTTATTGAATCTAAGATGCAATTTTGTTTTTATATGTTTATTCACAACTTTAATTTTTTTTTTAAATGGACAGCTCAAGACAAATTTATTACATGTAAAGAAAGTTATGTATCACTGTCTTCTGTGAAGTCAAAATTGGAAACATCTTTACTTGTATTTGGCTCTTCTGAATCAGCATTAACATTCTTAAGTTTTAGTTTTAGTTATTATATACATTTAGTTCTATAAAACTAAATGTGCACTAATTAACACTGGATTCAATTTTCACATCTTCCCATGTGCAATCATACTCTGTGATATTTAAAACATCACAACTTTTTCTGGAATTTCGTATAAGTACTTAATGACATTACAGTAATAAACTAAACAGATTGAGCTAAGTTCTTAAATACTTTCTATTACAAATATTGGTCTAATAAAATCATTAAAATGATACAATGGAATTAGTGACTTATAGTGACAGAGAAATAAGATGCATGATGCTGTAGAGATCACTAATTGTAATACATTACATTGAATCTAAGATGCACCCTATTTTCAGAGATACTAAAACCTGAAGAGAAATGTGTCTTACATTTATATAAATATGGTAAATATGCTATAATTCAAATTGAGTTATGGCATAAAAATATCTCACAATTTCTCACTGTTTGGTTCATCATTATCATAATATATCTATCTTAAATCACTTGCCAGCATAAAGAAATCCTCAGTTATGTTTATAATAATAATTTACTGCCTAATGAATGCAAATTTCAATAAATTTATAAATAATTGTCAATTGAATTAAATCTCTTACAGAACAAAAAGCATTTCTCATATTATTTTAGACATATTAATACAATTAACATGTTAACTGCCATCCGAAGCTCTGGCAGTTGTACTAATTAGGGCCGTACAGAGCCATTCGACCATCTGATGTCGCTATAATCAATGTAGTTTCACTCAAGTTTAAATTATCCTGGTTTTGTAAGACATTGTTTTACATCCTAATGATGGCCTCTCGCACACATCTGTAAAGTTGGCTGTTGTATGGACTCATGAAGTGGTTTGATGGCTGGCGGTCGTATGGCCTCATGAAGTGGTTTGATGGCTGGCGGTCGTATGGCTCTGTATGGCCCTAATTAGTACAATTGCCGGCACATCAGATGGCAGTTAACGTGCTAATAAAATTTAGAATCAAAACTTAGAAAAATATAAAAATTAATAATATATTTTTTTCATAAATAAAAATAATATTTGTAAGTTTATTTTTTAAACTAATATTTCAGATAACAGATGAAATGTTAGCAGATGCAGATGCTGCTGCAGATAAAGCAAATAAAGCAGTTTCAGCTGGTGATAAAACATTAGAAGAAGCGAAAAATACTCTTAAATTATTACAAGGTAATGAAAGTTTTATATTATACTAGCTTACCTGTCGCACATTTCTGCAATCTCAGAAGAAAGGAAATTCAAGCAAACTCGTTATGATAAAATTCAATTTACATTTTATCACTTTTATTGAAACTTATTATTATTATTCATTTTCATCGGGAAAACATTTCAAAGTGTCGTTTCAATTCTATTTATTTATTGGAGTGTTTGTGGATACACGATATTTTTTGTTTTTCCGTCTGGTGCGTACACGAATAAATCAGAAGGTTTTCCGACGCGTGAGCTGGCCACATACAGTTGTCCATGCGAGAAGCACGGATTCTCCAAATTTAGCCCACACACTCGCTGCGATTGTCAGAAGTGCGATATTCCCCATTTTTATATATATTTTTAAATCCTTTATAATTTTAATTATTTAATTGCTCCTTCCTCTCTTCCTTGGCATGTTGTGAAATTTCTGATAGTTGGATAATAAACCGTTTTATTGTAATTTGTCTTTTTAAATTATTTTGAGTTGATATTAAAATTTGGAAAAGGGGGATCCCTAGATCAGTAAAATAGGTGAATTTCCTTCTACAACTTCGGTTGTAGTTCATGATACAGTTAAGGCTTTAACAAAGTTCGAGCGATTACGTAATTAGCAAAAAAAAAGTTGAAATAAAGTGATTAAACAAAAATTATAATAAATATCGTAAATAATAAATGCATATATAGAGATATTTTTTGGAGGGGGGAAATGGTCTTCACAATTTGAAATCGATCGAACACACTGTGCTCGAATGCTCGTGTAAACGCGCATCATCTATCGTAGGGTAAATGCCAGAAACCTTCGCGGGAGTGTATTAAAAAAAACTTCCCAAAGCTTCATGGCAATCGTACTACGCCACAAACCTTCGCTGGAGTATATTAAACAACTTAAACAACAATATTAAACAAAGTTTCACGGCAATCGGATAAACGGTGTGGTAATGCATGAAGGACACACACACAGACACACATACATTTATTTTTATATATATAGATTAACTATTTATTAAAAATTTAATACACTAATGACAACAGGAATCAGCAATGAGTTGATAAATGACTATTATAGAAAACTACTTCCATAAGGAATCTGAGTTAAAAATCTGATCTGGACATTTGTATTTTGATATATAATTTAAATTCAAACTTTATTTATTATCCTTGATTTATATTGAGTGATCTGTTACAAGTTGTAGAGCAAATATCTAAATAAAAACCATATTAAAAGTTTAATCCTGCAAGTAATACTTTTTTAGTTTAAATTACCAGTTGAAAATGCTTTTGATAGTATTTTTCCACTAAACTGATGCAGTAAGATGACATTTTATCACCATTGGAGATTTCAATCAAATCCAGACATTCAAGAGGACATTTAAACTAAGGTTTTGTTAATATTAATCTTTATTGAATTAATCAGGAACAGAATCAAATGAGTTTCTGTGAGTCAAGTTTTTGAAAATAATCGACGAATGTAATCTTTGAAAACAATAAGGAGAATAAGATTACACATGCTGCCAATTTGCCTTGTATAGAACAGTAATTAACTAGTACCAAGTATTTGAGAAAAAATTGATTAACATTGTTGGTAATTGCAGAGTTTGAAGTTAGCAATTAATTGAAGTTAGATCACAGAATAACTTAATCTCTGTATTTTTGTAATGTAATGTAATTAGAATTTTTTATGGCAAAATGGGACACTTGTTCTTTGTTCCAAATTTGGTTTATTCTCTATCATTAGAGTTCATAAAAATCACACTCGAGAAGTACTTGAATATCTAGCACAAGTTCTTGGAAGCAATGAGAACATTTTAGAATTGAATAGTTCTTAATTCTTGCATCTGAATACTCTCATCTTTAGTTGGAATCACTTTGGATTAATTTTCATTACTCTTACTTCAAATTTAATTCATTCTAGGAGGTCATTTGAAATCCAAATAAATTTTTCCCATTAGAAATAATGGAAATAAATTAATCCACCCTGCCCAAACAATACTCATTTTGATAAACTTAAAACAGCAAATACACATAATTTAAGGTAAAAATAACACATTTATAAATGCCCTAAAAATAAATTAAAATATGAAAACCATAAATGAAATACATAAATAGCGTATAATAAAATGAAAATTGCATGTATTGGTTGCACACCATGGAGTTCTTCATCTGAACATAGATGTGTGATTTAATTATAATGATTGTGAAATTTAACATGTTATAGATAGATAGATATATTTATTATTTGTTTAGAAGCTTACTTTAAACTCTTTATTTCACATTTTGTTTGAATAAAATCATGCTAAAATATCTTCGGATAAAAAGCCTATCAGGCATATTATGCTTTACGAGTTTTGAAAAGGATATAATGCCATACAAATAGTAAAAAAAATTGTAATGTGTGCGAGGAAGATGTTCTTAATATTTGAATGTATCAAATGTGGTTTAAAAAGTTTCGTTCGGGAAATTTCTGTATGTTTGGGGCACCCAAAAGCTGTAGACAAAGAAAAATTGCAGGAAGAAATTGTTAAAAATCGACAAATAACACACAATACAGTATATTTAACAAACAAAAAAAAACTAAAAACATACAAACGTAATGCAAGAGTAAGAATAAGAGATGACTTGGAAACGCAACAGATTGAGTTTATGCTTCGAACACATTTTTTCACTGTGCGCACAGTTTGAACTTTAAAGCATCATTTGAACTCCAAGGCAAATTTTTGTTGAATTTAGGATTCAAAATTAGAGTCATTCAAAGTACAAGGTACACTGTAGTAATTTTTTTTACATATGTAAAAGTGACTTTATTATGAAAATAAATATAACTAATAGCATTATCTGACTTTCATCTTTCTAATCTGCTGTCCTTTGCTCAGATTTGTATATCACTATCGGCCCAACTATCAGACTATAAAGTTTCCTTTTTAACCTAATCAAAATTCATATGTCGTAGAGAAAGCCACTCTGAATGTACTTTTGCCAATCTACAATTATTCTATTTGCCACATTAAATTCTCCAGTTGCATGTAAATAAATTTAAAATTAAGAAAGAAAAAGAATGATTAACATTAAATGCAAATTTTAATAAACACTAATTATAAATTATTTAAAGTAAATTTTAGCACAGTTTTCAAATAAAATTAATTAGTAATATCTAAATCTGTGCTTATGATAGTAGTGCTTTCTCTTCATTTATTATAGTTTAATTGCAAATTTTTTTAGTTTACTCATTAAATAAACATTTCTATTAATAAATGTATGAAAAATTATTTTAGATTTAAGTTGTTCAAATGCTTTTTAAATTTCTAATTATAAATAGAACCATATATTCCCGAATTTATATATCTTTTTTAAATTCTGATTTTTCTTAATCTCTTAAATTTTTTATCTAGAATTTGATCAGTCAGTAAAAACAAGTAAAGAAGAGGCTGGGGAAGCTTTTAAAAAAATACCTGAAATAGAACAGTTAATTGACGAAGCAGAAGATAAAACAAGAGCTGCAGAAGATGCACTAAGTGATGCGAAACTGGCTGCTTCGGAATCAAAAGATGCTGCTGAAGAAGCCCAAAGAATTGCAGAAGAAGTTTCGAAGGTAAAATACTTTCTTCATTTAGTTATTACAGTTATTTTGCCTTTTGTATAATAAGTTGAAAATGTTTAGTCTTCATATTAATTTTGAAAATACTGTGTTTTCTTCATTCTAATGCACAATCATATCTAAAGTGCATTTGATTTTTGAGGCATCAAAATTCGAAAAGAAGTTAGCTAGCAAATGTAATGCTTGCCAAATGTCAAAAACTAAACCACAAAAAGTTAATAAGCTTAAACAGTACTAAATACATTTTTTTAAATGTGTTTTACATTGGTGTGCAAAACTTATGCAATGATGTAATTTTTAAGCAGACTGCCATGAAATTGTAGAAAAGGGCTAGTTGCAATCAGTATAATGAACATCCAATTCAGTAGAAAAGTAATTTGTATGCAAATATCAGGAAGAAGACATCACAGATAACATGAGAGCATGCAAAACACATACAGTCACTGCGTGTGATGCAAAACTACGATAAAAAGGACAAAAGGCACTATTGAAGACATTCACTGCAAGTTCAAGTGAATTCATACATGCAATATGGCTAGAAGGAATTATCTGGATGACTTTACACATTGTAGAATGATTTCCAGGTGATTTCTTGCAGAATTATAGCAAAAGAACAATTGTTGCTTGTTTTGCACACCGGTGTATTTTCATGTTTATTAGTGCTGCACATTATCCACATTTTCAGATGTATCTATTATCAAGTACAGGGAACTGTGGACCAATACAAAGTCACAGTCAAAATTACCATGTAATTAACAAATTTTTAACAAGAAAGATTTCACATCTATATGCACAAGTATGAAATTTACTAGATACATAGTATCACACTGAAATATCTGTATACATTCTACAGCATAGTGGATGATTCTCTACTTAAACACAGCTTTATAGGAGATAGATTTTTCTACTGGACATTGTTCATTCAGCTTGCTGTAGTTCAAAACACCACCAAATCATTCTAAAAACCAAAACCAAAGTAGTTAGTGAGATGTGTACTATGTCTATTATAATTTTGTGCTCGATTCCAATGCAAATCCCAATATTTGAGACCAGAAAAGTCTAAAAAAGGTTCACAAATGATGTGCACCTTTTTTTGGACTTTTCTGGTCTCAAATATTGGGCTTTTAATGTACACATTTCTAATTATAATTAGATTCTAATTATAATTTTTCTTTATTGCTAATAGCTTTAAGTGATACATTTCCTCTAAAAATAGTTAAAATTTAAAATAGAAAATAGCTTACTGATTAAGAAGTCAATTTCAAAAAATAGTGATAAGTGAGTTTGACATCAAATTTATTCAAAAAGCATTCAAATACTCTAGAACCAAATGTTCCGGTGTGTTTTGTGTCTAGATATCCTCTAAAATAGGCGTTCTTAACTTACGTGATGTTTTAAGCTGCAGTATTTTACCTAAAATATAGTCATGTAGACAAGAAACAAATATTTATATCAAATATTTTTAAACTCAGATATATTAAATTGATATTAAATTAAAATAATATTAATGTGTTTATGAATATTAGGTTTATTAACATAAAAATATCTCTACCAAAATTAGAAAGTGGGCTGTATTGAAACATTTAGTTAGTCATATGTTGTGCACTTTTGCTTTAAAGATAATATGATCTAAATACGGTGAAACCCTGTTTATCTGGCTCAAACGGTGTCAGGCCCAGTCCAGAAGTCTGAAAATCTGGAAAATTCATTAACGACATAAATAACACATTTTATGTATATTTAATTTTATATTTCTAATTTCTTCTCCGTTGTAACAACTGCTTTCTTTCATTTAGATATTATTTTCAGTGTTTACTTTACTTCACAAAAGAGGTGATCGAAATGATTGTAACTGTGGGTGTTGAGTGAATAATAACACACAAAGTTACAAACAATAAACTTATGTTATTAACATGTTGACTGCCCTCAGAAGTACAATATTTTTATACAACAGGAAAGTAGCAAATTTTTATAATTGAAAATCTTAAAAGATTAGAGAAGATTCAACAAGATGTTAAGATCACTCCCACAGAATACATAACAATGAAGATCATATTTCAATTTACAGAAAACAAATACATTCTTGCAAGCTGCGATATTACACTCATGCTAGAATATGCTTAGGAGTTCTTTGATTTTTCTGCATTTATAGGTTTTTCCATGTGTCTAGCTTTCATACTTCTGAGACAGAGATTATGTTTTATAATCTGGATAAACTGGAAATCCAGATTAATGTGATCTGGATAAACAAGGTTCCATTACAGATCTTTTTATATAGTAGACCTCTCTTTTACAACTTAATTTATTCTTCCAAAATCATCATTAAATTGAATTATTATAAGATAAGTCATCATATTTCCCATATGGTTAGTGTCATAAATTGATTGTTTCCAGAAATGTTTTTTTTTTAATTAAAATAATACCATATAGAGACAAACAAAAAAGAAAAGAAATCCAGAGTAATACCTTGACTTACGCTACCCCGACTTACATGAACCCGGAGTTACGCGATTTTCAAATCTCATGGATTCATCTTTTGTTTGAGCAGCACGCAGCTCTTGATTACTCACTCCCCCCACACTATTGTTCAGCTTACATGTTCGGATGTGTCACGCGGAATTGACGCATAAGTTACAATTTATTTTGTGTTATTTATTTCTGTGTTTGTTATATTTACGGAGACTTGAGATACTCTATGGTGATTTCTTGTAACCATGAATGAATCAAAAGACGAGATAAGATTAACGAGAACATTTATTAGCTTACATACATCCGACTTGGCTTTTACACAAATTGTGAAATTATACCCCAACTTACGTGAATTCAACTTACGCGGTTATCGCTCGGTCCCACCTATCGCGTAAGTTTGGGGTATCACTGTACTTAAAATACATATCACATAGTCAAAATAGAAGATTTATATTAGTTGTAAAAAGAGCTGTGATGCAAGTTGATTGTAGTCTGAAGTCTATTATCATATTTTAAATTTTCAATTCTGATAATTTACTTGAAGATAATGAATACAGAAATCCCTGAATCAATAGCAAGATTGAGGCCGAATGTGAAAATGTGTACATCGGATGTTCAGTGTTGCTTTCCTGTAAGCCTAGAAGTTTGACAATGGTGTTTGGATAATCAGTGGAATCATGCTCGACATTCCAAACACCATTGTCAAACTTCTAGGCTTACAGGAAAGCAGCGCTGAACGTCCAATGTACACGTTTTTGCATTTGAAACTTCAGCCTCAATCTTGCTATTAAAACATCTTTAATCTTATATATTAAAAATTATATGTCCACTCTATTTTCTGATATCTTTAACATACAAGATTCAAAAATTCAGAATTTTTTATTATAAAAGTTATAAAGAATATATTTAAAATCTACATTATAGAACAGTAAATTATAAAAATCTCTTATTGTGATTTATTATAATTATCATTACTAATTTTTATTTTAGGAGGCAGATAACATTCGAGATGCTGCAGAAAACACAAAAGATAAAGCTGCTAAATTAATGAATCAAGCAGAGGGAATCGACGAAAGAGTAACGGAAACGGCCGTTCGCGTCAAAGAAAAAGAAAATGAAGCCGACGAGAATGAAGCTTTAATTAAACAAGTAAAATTTAGATATGTTTTGAATGCTATTAATTTTAATTTTAGAATATGTTTAAACTTGTATTATGGTATAATGCTGAAGAAGTGTAAAATGATAATGTAGTTCTAATGGATCACCAAGGCGATCCAGAACGTGATGTGGGTAAGAATAAATGAGGACTGTACAACGAAAATTAGAGAACAAAAAAAAAACTTTATATATATCAAATTCCTTTTTGCGTTGATACAATAAGTACTATAGAACATGAGCTATCGGCTTGTAACAATCTCACACGACTTTCGTCTCCTTAATATTATACTCACTTTCGAAGTTCGCGAGTACCGATATCAAATCGCTCACGATGAATGTTACAGACGAATTACATAGCAGATCCACCACCCCGACATTTCATATAGGGCAGTCTCCTTTGTGAGTGGACATCCGATTGGAGCTGCGACCATGTGGAAACGAAAAAAATCTTCCTTGGACTGAAATAATGGGCCACGAAAAACAGTTTGATGATGTTCTTTTACCCAACCTTAGTCAGATAATTCCCAGACGCATACCGAGTCCGATGTAACCCGATTCCTTCACTTACTTAGTTCAATCTGCTCTAAATTGCCGGTTCTTGTCCATATCCGGATCGAGTCCTGACCTCCTTCGTCCGTTTTGTCCCTCGTCTTCCCTTCTGCCATCTAGAAATCACACAGAAGCAAGCCAAACTCTCCTTACTTTCCTCTCAGGTCGCCCTTTTTATAACTTCCTATAAGCTCCTCCCTTCACCTCCATGTTGTCACCAAAGGGGCCAATCAAGGCACCGACAAACTCCACCATAAGGTGGCGCGCGATACAAAACTTTGAAAAGAATAAACAAAGAACTCGAACAAACGTGTGACAACACACAGTATATAATAAAAAAGAAATAAAATAATACACGTGCCTAGCAGTACAATAATGTACAGTACAAACAATACTTCATACTATGCATTAGTATGTGATTTTAGTACCTAAACACTAACTGAAAGAGAAATAAGTAGAATGCTGGCTTTAGAAATGAAGTTTGTTAGTGATATAATGAGAAAACTGTGATAAAGTCAACATGAAGAGGTTGGAAAAAGCTTTGTCTTAGAAAGTTTGCTAAGACAAAGCTAAGGGAAAATTAATAAGATAAGATGAAAATAATTTGGACAGATGGAAAAGATATTTCTAAGAAGCTTATAAGAGAAAAGTTGTGGGAAAGCAAATTAACGGAAGATCAAGAAAAAGTTGGAGATAGATGATTGAGCAAGATATTTGTGAAGTCTCGGATGGAAAACAAACTTTAAGGTTCAAATGATGAAAATTTGGTGAGATAGTTAAGCTCTCACCTTTCAGAATTAAACAAAGCAAGACTTAAAGTCTAGCTTAAACAAAGGAAGTTTTTCCAACAAAACAGAAAACAGAAGGTGAATTGTGAGGCGAATGGAAAGTCAAGGGAAATTTAGATGATTAGGAATTGTGTTTAGGCACAAAGTTAATCTCTCCTGCACACGCGAAAGGTTTCAAATTGTCATCAAGTTATAAGGGGAGTCCAATCAGCAAGCAGAATTGAAGGGGGAAATTGATAAAAATGTACATTTCAAAGATGTGAGGTTCTTTGTTCATTGTTCCAAACAAATCTTCGGTTTCCCATTAAAATCTGTTGTGTGACCCATCATCTTTCTCCACGAGATGTCCAATCTCCTGACGAATCCAGAGTTGTTTGTGGCATTCCTAATTAATTCCTGCAACGAGGACCACCTGTTTCCAGGCTGCAGTGCACCCCGGGGTCGTCAATCCTGCTGACCAGAACTGAGGAAGACTCTGGATTATTAGTCTTTACTAAACTCTCAACCATGTAAAATTGTGTCAACGGTGACGTTGAGATATTTGTTAGAAAACCCTTTTTTAGTCTCATTAAATGGGTAAAGATGGTATAAACTTGTCTCAGTGAATTTCATGCTCACACACGATTGTCTCGACCCTTGACCGTCTCAACAATTGCACACAGTCGGCAAACCTTACAATGGTGTCAGAGAAGTGGGACGTTAAGTCCCCCAATCTCCACCCACCTCGTTGGCAACCCTTACATATGTACAAAAGAAGAATTAATTCGAATACCATACAGAAAGTGGTGTGTAGAAAGAAAGAGATGGTAACTACCTATTTAGCTAACCATTCTTTCCTCAGCATTGAGATGAAAGGAAGCAAGAAGATGACGTAAATTTTGCTTTCATAATTTAATAAGTTGTTGGAAAATTTAATCATATAATACTATACTGAAATATTCAACAAAAAAATATGGCACTTCACAAATCATAGTAGATAATTTATACCAGTTATAAAAATAAGGGATTATAAAGATCATGTTTACTGTAAGTGATGTGAAATTTTAGTGTAACACTCAATTTCAAGCTAGAAATTTTGATATTTATTATCTTAAATAGTAAAAAATTGGTATTGTTAAATATATAAATTTAATAAATAACTTTTAATTTAAATTGTCAGATTTAAAAATTATTTTATTAAACTATAGGCCTTTGAAAAAGTAAGTGAAGCAAAAACTTCAGCCGAAGGAGTAGCAGATCAAGTGAATGAGGCTTTGAATACACTTGGAACTATATTAGAAGCTCTTGGTATGTTCATTGTTATCATTGTTCTTAAAGATTTATCCAAATATATAATATGATTATGTAAATTAATTCAATCTTATTTACATTTAAAAATTTTAAATAAGATAGAAATAACTTTTATACATGTTAAACCCAAAGTATAGTTTAGTTAAATATAAGTCAAAAAATACCAAATTTCTTTTGGTATACAGACAGTTTTCACTTTTATGTTGGGTTATATTCCCAAAAACTGTAGATAAATATAGTTTTATAATAACATAATAATTATCCTTGGAAAAAAGGGATTGATGTTTCTTCCTTACAAAAGGTGTTTTCAACATTTCTAGTAGGTGCTGTCTAGTCTGTTTTTATTCTATAAAATTAATAACACCAAACTGCCAAATGTTATTTCAAAGAATTGAGTAATTTAAGCAAATTAATGTATAAAGATGAACGAATGAATTGGTAACGTCAATGCATTGGAGATACGAATGAAACAATGAAGGCTCATCTGTATAATTCCACAATTTTATAAATTAATTTTAATTTAAAACTCAAAGTAATTAAATTTAATAATTAGAGATAATTTAAGTAATTAATTTAGAATGGCAGAAAGGGCATTTAAAATGCCTTGACAAATGATTTATAAAATTATTCTTAATTGCTAAACTGTCGATTTACATAAACCAAAAATGACTTTCTGCGACATCGTTTATATTTTCAAAACTAAAAGCAGACAACCCATATTCACATCTTTTATTGATGTTTTAAATGTAAAAAGTTAACAAAAGTGTGATTCAAAAGTCTCCATACATCGATAAAGGAGTTATTATAAAATCACATAAATTATAGAATATATGTATCATTTAACTGAATACGAATATGAATGCTTTCCTTCCACTTATAGCTAGTTCGTATTAGCATGTTTGATGTTACGTGCATACACACAACACCAGCATGTTTCATTAGGTGATTTACGTTTTGTATGGAGACTTTTTGAATCATCCTGTACATAACAATGCATAAAATTTTTACAGTAACCATTAAATTTACTTTCTATTAAATAAATCATTCATTCGACCTTACGGAAATCGAATAAACAAATTTTATAATTGAAGCCAAATGAATTATTTATTTATGATAAAAATTAAGTTAGCGTGTGAAAAGTAAAAGACAAATTAATTTTCTTTAAACATTTTTATAGATGAACATCATGACATTGATTTATCGCTACTCGACGAACTCGAACGAAAGTTAAATCAGGCCGAACAGGATTTCTCGGATGCCAATTTAGATAAACGCTTAGATGAACTTCTCGAGGGAAGGCGTTTGCAAAATCACTGGATAAGAGACTATAAGCTGGAAGTGGATCAATTAATGAAAGATGTTAAAAATATCGAAGACATAAAGAATTCGCTTCCTAACAAGTGTTATCGTAGAGTGGTATTGGAACCACCTATAGTTTAAAGATAAGAGAAACAAACTTAATTAATAAGATATATATTAAAGAACTGAAATATATTGGGTACAATAAAATTGCTTTAATATTACAAACAGGTGCTATCGACATGCCAAAAAAGTCAGCATGTTCCATCCGTGTCCCATAATTTTTTATCACAATTTTAAGGCATTATTGTACATAAAGTTATTGCTTTATTATAAGTTTATTGAATATTTTCAGATAATATTTTGCTCTATTATAGTTAAAAATGTTGAATTTCTGAAATTGCTAGTTTTTTCCAGTTTTTTTAAGAGAATATATAGTCTTATAAAGGGTACAAATTTTTTATAATAAACAGAATCACCAAAGCAGCAAATACATTGTATTCGGCTATGATGCCGTCATAACAGTATTGTCTTTATTTTAAGACAGTGTGGTCCAAAGGCTCTATGTTTAAGACTTATTACTTTATAGAAATGTTTAGCATCATGCTGAATTTTTAAGAATTTTTTTATTTTTTAGTTACCAATTTAGATTATTTTTCTACAACTTGTTTCGTTTGTAATTGTGTTTTTGTCTTTCAAATTATAATACCTCTCCTTATACCACGAGTAATTACTCTGGACGGATCACACTGTTATAAGATGGACTCGAACTTTAGAAGTATTGTCAGAAATTTTATTACAACAAACTCTGCATCAAATAAATCTAATTTTTACGTTAATCAATCTTAAATCCGTACTTCGGATAGAATTTCGTAAAAATTGGTTTTATTTTTTGCGTCAAACGCTTCTGTTTGGTACAACACGAATCAAGCTTTAATTTACAATTTTTAAAACTTTATATTATTTTCTTAGTAACAGAGTATCTATTTTTTGAAAAGAAATTTGTAAAATAGTTATTTCTGCTTGTCTTTTTATATTTCCTCTACCAGAGATGTATATAAAATTTATACATAATGAAAAATACTGCCATTATTAAATTACATCTCAGGCAAATGTGCAATATTAAATACTGTATTCTAGTGTAACTGTGTTTTGTGTTGTCGCATTTTTTAGTCTTTTGTAGCATGATGTGTTGAAATAAAAGATATTTGCTTTTTGTAAATATTTTTCTTTTAAACATACAATTTATGTTGATTTTAGAATCTTTGGAGAATAGAATTCTCCATAGATTACACTGAATTAATTCTGTCCACTTAGGCAATATACATTTTGTTGATACAAGCAACATACTATGAGTTAACGTTGCCCATTACAGAAGACTCTAACCCACAGTGAAGTTGATCTGATGCAGTAATTTGCAATTTTTTTGAACTAGTGGCACATTCATAATTTTTTATGTATACATTGATGTGTCAGTGTCTTATCAATGATGCTCTAGTATGTATTTATGAAATGACATTGAAGAACTGTAAATGACGAACTGTATCGCAGGGAAAAATATATGAATAATGATGAAAACATAAAAAATTTGGCATTTTAAACAATTCTTTTGCAGCAGGTCTATGAGAAATTTGTGACACACCAGATAAGAATTGTTAGGTTAATAGGAGAAAATAGGATGCAACAGATGTAGATCACTCCACCCATGAAAACTCTTAGGATTCTTGTTGGGATTCATACTGAAATCTGTTAGAACAGCAGGCAATGCCTGACCGCTTTCGTGCCCACCAGTGGCCAAGCGGTCTTTGTACTCTGAACACGGGGGGTTTAGTTTGTGGGTTCACACCTTGCTCGGATGGGCTGGCCATGTGGAGTTTTCCAGGTTTTCTCCACATCTGTAATGCCAAAATAGGGGCCAGTTTCCCTTAAAAAGACCTCCCGGAAGGCATTCCCCTAGGCAGATTGCCCAAGTGTTGTGTTGCCATAACTAAACAAACAAACAACTAACTGCTTTCTAAGAGGTTTGATTATGAATCCAATCAAAAATGAAAAATTTCTGGGGGTTTCCAATCCAGACTGAATCCAGGCTCCTCAGAGTGACAGACTGATGCCTTTATCATTATACCACATAAAACATCCAGCCATCATCATCATCTGAAGGAAGGATTCAAGAAAGGTGCATTAGGGAGTGCACAAAATGCAGCTGCTCTCCTTAGGATTTTTCCTGAGTAAAGCCCTGTTTTTAACAATAGTTTTTTTCAGGTGCTCTAAAACGTATAACTTAAATACGAGTAATTTAATTAGTGTTGAATTATTAATAAGATAATATAGGTTGCAAGTACCATTCATTCTTTGCACATCATAATGTTTTCGAGCCCTGATGCTTCTTCTTACCACACAGACATCTGGCAGATTTCATTTTAAACTCATACCGTACTTTAAGAAATTTCTTAATGGAAGAAAACGCAATATCTTTATTCAATAATGCAATTTCCCGCATTGTTTATCGAGGATTATACCATAGGATGCCCATCTTTTTGTATTGATGCAATACTGTATTCTATAATCTACTTGTGAATTAAACAATTTAATAAAACTTTGATGAAATTATTTGTCTCCAAGCTTTACTCCACTTGGAAATTTTTTGGGGATTTTGCCCATGGCCGAAAATGCTCCTTTTGGATATCCATCTTTAAAAATTATTCCAAAATTATAAAACAAACCTAATCTTCAAACTTTTCGGTTAAAAGTTAGTTAATAAATTACCATGAACTTACAAGATATTTGAATTGAAATTAGTTACGTTTCAGAACACCTGAAAAAACTATCGTTAAAAACTGGGCAATCTTCTTGGCCAATACAATATATAAACACCCGAAAAACTCCAGGTGGCCACGCGCAAACCCACGACCAACTACCAGTGCTCATTGGTTTTATCCACTCGTCCATTATTAAGTTATACATACATATCCTCAAGCTCATAATCCAAAAAGGAATTTTTTCTTTCTTTTTTAACTCCGCCCTGTGGGCACTAAGAGGGCCTATTTTAGTAAGCCCATTATGGGTTCGGCCAGGCCCACAATGGGGCGGCCGAGTGGTGAGGGACGAAGCCCGACATATCCGGACGGACCACCCCCGAAAAAAATTCCTGGGAATTTATCGACCCGTTCAGATTCGAATCCGAGTTTCCCAGATCGGCTATCGGGCCGTCAATTTGATATATTTTTAAATGACAACAATCAAATGAACTCTGTGAACTATGATTTATAGTAACGCGACACATGGGCGATCTGCCGATGAGGGATGCCTCACGAGAGAACTTTCTAGGGTAAATTGGCCCCTATTTTGGTGTTACAAACGTGAAGAAAACCCGAAAAAATTTCCCGTGGCTAACCCGCGAAGCCATTATTATTATTTAGTTGGTTTTATACACTCGGGTACTAGTAAGCCACTATTCAATACGTATTATACTGTATATTTTATATTTATACAGTTAATTGACGCTTGGCAAATACATATGTACAGTACTTTACGTCATGCTTTACTGCCGTTTCTTTCACAACTCCCGTTTTATGACTAGTATACTGTATTTTAATTATTACTATAAGAAATGCCGTATTTATTATTAGTTATTTCCCTGCAATGTTACGTAATTAAAATTGTATTTTTAAAATCGTGGAATCAATTTACAGTACTGAGTTATAAGCGGCCAAGGTGGCAGCCTACCGCTCTGGGGGACCCGGGTTCGAATCCGCGATATGTCGGGCCCCGTCCTTCACCACCCGGCAGCCCCATTGTGGGCCTGGCCGAACTCATAATGGGCTTGCAAAAAGAGGCCCTCTTAGTGCCCACAGGGCAGAAAGAGTTTAAAAAAAAGTACTGAGTTATAGGAAGCGGCGACTCGCTTTACGAAAATTTCCGTGTATCAATCACGTCGTAAAAGCGGGCGATCATATCTGTATTTAGAAGTTTGTATATAAAAACAAATGAAATTATTTTAAAATAGTTTATTTATGAACAAAAATAAAATTTCCACACGTTTGTATTTTCAAATGACTATTGTTTTTTTTAATTTAAAAATTAAATTCAAGTTTCCTTCATGATTTTCAACAGCATTAAGTGTATAATTAAATTATAAAAATATTGATTTAAACGAAAAGAACATAAATTAGTATTTAAAATATTTTAAAAAACCTTTAAAAAAAGAAAATTCATTAAATATTAAACAGAATTTAATTATACATATGTATAAATACGAAACGACAGCAAAATATTCTACACATCCGCTTACATTTAATAACGATTTAAAGATATTTATTATTTTATATAAATATACATTTAACTGAAATAAATAAATAATGCATTTAAAATAAAATAAATTAAAAAAATTTTTTTTTTATATTATTCAGATAATTAACGTTTTCTATTTTTGGAATTTAATTCCATCTATAACCGCGGGGAGTCGCTTTTAGTTAAGTCAAAATTTTGACTCAAGAACTTTGGACTGATCTGTTTTGATTATCGAGTGAGAGAGAGAAAAGTGAGTAATGTTCGTGTTATTTATGTATTTTATTACCTTTTTTCCTATTGTAAATTAATAATTACCATAATTATTTTAAATTATATTAAAGAATCAATTCTAATTTGTAAATAAACTATGCAATTATATATATGTATGTATATATATATATATGTATATATATACATGCATCTGTTGTAAATAAGAAGGTAAATATATTGAGTTTTCATGAATAAAATTTAAAATAAACCATAAATAAATAAATAAATTACACATTAAACACTATTAAATGGCTTACAATTAATTAACAAAATTTGAAAATATACTTTTAGATTTATTTGCAATTGTTTTGTGTACATAACATACTTGACTCTTAATTTGTATTATTGCAAATTAAGCAATTAATTATTACACATAAATGGATGAAACATTGATTAAAACAGAATTAAATGAAAATTTAAGTTGATTTTAAGGTTGAAAGCATTGATTTTGCTAACGTTAGGAATCGGCGTGTCGCGCGTTAAAGCTCGGTTCGGTTTCGGGTGAGTTCGTGCGGCACCGGGATCGACTAGTGTGAAGATCCTCTCGTCAATAATCACTGCTGTCTTCCGTTGAAACGTAAATTTCATTGTGTATTGAGAAAAAAATGAATGTAACTATATCTATTTGGTTCTAAAACTTCACACTATTATTTTAAAAAAAATAGAGAATAAATAATTACAAGGGATGGTCGATACTATACTTAAGTTATTGGGTCTGGATTGAATTTATTTAAACTTGATTCGGATCCAATAACTTAAGTGTAGTACCAACCAAAAGTATGTTTACAAATATCCCGTGAAATAAATTCAATGTTTTTTCTATTTTTGATTTAGACCACTTTTGTAATCGCAGGCATATTTTACCACGTATTTTACCGGCTGGCCAATGCTTACGAATGAACAAAAGCATTGATCGTATAGAATTAAGTAAAAATTTTAACTTTGCTCAACTAAATTTTAGTCGGAAGAAATTTTAAATGATTACATCTTTAAATTTTGAAGCAAAATATCTAAATGTAACCTTTTGTTGAAAATATTTTCTTTGTATGCAAATTAAAGGTATAATTGAGAAATTATTTTGATGTGTTTATTCTAGATGTGCAGCAAGTCCTCATTTAATGCTGTCAATAGTTTTTGGAAACTGTGAAGTTAAGCAAAATGACATATAACAAAACCAATTTTACCATAGGCGAAATGACATAAATAAGATATAATTTGGTTAATATTATTTAAATTGGATTATGTTTGTAACTTTCAGCATTTATTTCCCACCTCATAGAATCAATTTTACTATCTATAAAGAAAATTTGGCGACAGTAATTGTAAATGATTACAAAAGTACTTGAATTTTTCCTCAATGACATTATAATGAAACTACATTGCTGTATTTGATTTTCTTGGAAGTAAAGATCCTCAGTAATACAATTTCGTATTCTGCCATATTTTTCTGTGGCATATATTAGGAAATTTTAAAAAGTATTTTTTTTATATGAACTTAAAATAATTAATCAAAATCAGACGATTTAAATTGTATATTTGAAGAATTGAATAGTAGATCAGTCAGTACTTTTATTATAGAAAAGTTAGTATAAGATTGCTTTTTAATTGCGTAGAATTAGCCGACGTTGCCCGAACAATAGGCCAAAAAAGTTTTTAATAAAATCTAATTTCGGCTACTTTAAATAAGCAGTTTGTGTTTCCTTGTATCTAGAATAAGAAAATGAAAACAATTTATCATCATTTTACTTTAAAAGTATAGGGAAAATACTTTATATATCTGCTTAAACATTTAAAACTGAATGTTCATTTTATACAAAAGATATTTAATTGTTATAAATTAAAATTTTCGTTAAATTCTCAATATAAAATAGCATTAATTTTGCTAAAAAATCATTTATTAGATAGAATAAGAATTACGTTTAATAGGTGACATAAAGAGGTGTAAATATATGGTTTTTTTATTTTTTAACTATAACATAATTTATATCAATTGCCACTTATCATTTTTGTAGTTTCACTTCTTTATCCACTTAAACTTTTTGTTTGAAATGTAATAATAATAATTTAAATTTGAATTCTTTAAATAATTAATAATAACTTTTTTATTTAAAAATATAAATGTATTTATATACACACACACTTGCTGACATTAAAGTTATTACTGATAATTAAAATTTATTATTTGTACAATATTTTTTCATTACAGAATTACAAATTTTGTAATATTGGTAAAAAATGTTGCTTTATATTTCTGAAATGATTTCATTCACATTTTGTTTTGAATCACTTATGAATGATAAGAACTTGCAGTTTGTTAGAAATGTTTCATTCATAAATTTTTCTTTTTCCGAATAATTTTAAATGATGGATGCGATCGATATTTTATTCGTTACATAAGCATTTATCGTAATTCAAAACAAGAGTTGCCTTATTTCGGAATTATATTAAAAAAAATAGTACCTTTTCAGTTTTTATAGATTTTTACGAACGGATTATAATTGTTTAAAATTCTAGCTTTTACTCGGCACTATTTTTACTTTATAGAATTTAATTTAACATTCTCACTCTATTCGTTCTCGGAGATGATACCGTATGTGGCCTTGATCTTTTAGTTCATTGAATTATGGAAAGTTGAAAGTTGTATGATTTATTATTTCTACTGAGATAGAGATAGATTCAATATAATATTTAATATATATTTTTTAAACAATCTATAACAGAAAATGAATTAATTATTTATGATTTATCTGTAAATTAACTTATAATTTGGAAATATTAACATGATCTCTTCTTTTGAAAGAAAACAGCATATATATTTAATCTATCAAAATAAATAATTTATTATAAAACCAGTTATTTCTGTATGGACGTTATGAAATTCAATTAGCAGTCATATTTTTATTTTTTTCCATCTAATATTAGCAATTAGCACAAATTATTCTAAAAAATTTTGGCAAAAATGGATGTTAATACCGAGTTTGTTTTGGACGTAAAATTTAATTGCAGACCTGTTTTTAGTCATTAAGAATTTGTATTGTTATTTTCTATATTATATTTGTTTAAATAATAATTATTGATATATGCTACATGCGATAAGTACTTATACATATCAAATTGGATTCTTTCCATCTTAAAAAGGCTAATGACCCTACTACAGAAAATCTATATTTTGAACAAAATTCTATAGGTTATAATATTATACGCAGAACTTTGAAATTTCATAGATTTTATTGGGTTTTGTTTTAAAGCAAAATTAAAGTCCGTTGAAATATTTTTCCTATTGTAAAGTATTAAGTTCGTTGTTAATGGATCATTAAAAGAAAATATTTTGCTCGTACTTTTTGATTAAATTTTAAATGTTTTGTATGTAAATAAATAATGATTATAATATAAATTCTTTGTAATAAATAAATTAAGGAAAGTATTATATTCATTTTAGTGTAAATTCAGGTCATAAAATATTATAATTCAGAAAGAAAACAAATATTAAATTCAAGTACTTATTTCGTTCGGTTTATTATTTTTTAAATTAAACAATTGAAGAAACAAGTGAACTTTAAAATGTGTGAATTTGATTACAATCTAGTATCGTGTGATTATGAGTCATTTTACAGCTTTTATCAAAATTTAAATGTTCAAAATATAAGTAAAATTCTCCGAGGATAATTCTCATAAATTATTAAAAAGGTAATTAATTATGTTATTTCGTTTAAGAAGTAACGTTGAAATATAATACCGGTAATATATAAGTCCGTGTTTCATTAATTACGTATTAACTTTTACTTTGAAAACATTAAATTCATTTTGTCATCGGGTTTTTCGGTTTAATAATTCCTTAACAAAATATAACTTACGTATTTAAGCTGGTGAATTGAAAAGTAAAAATAAATCTACTACTTTAAGAGTTTATTAAAGGTCTTCTTTATGAATACGAAAATGACTTTAAACATTAAAATATTTTTTTTTTTTTTTTTTAAATGAATTTTCTGTTTTAATTATTGATATCTTTTTAGTTGTGATCTAAGTAGATTATTTTCCATTCACATTTATAAGCTGGTAAATTATTGTTATATTTTTGTCCTCAAAGTGAGATTATGTAAGATCTGTCCAGAGTTAAAAAATAACGTACGATAATTTATTAAGATATTAAGAATGATAGAAATTAGTTTTAGATATTATTTGTTATTATTAATCAATGAGGTAGAGTTAAATTTTTGAAATTTTTATGGCTTTAAGATGAAATAAATAGGATCAATATTCATTCATTCAACCTGCATAAAATACAAAATTAATTAAACTGAATTTATATCAAGTATAAATTTCTTTATTTTTATCTATACATGTGTCCCTCTATATTTAAGATTTAGTATTCTGTACAGACATGATCTCTTATTATGTTATGTTAGTCTTGATTTTTATCAAGAGTATAAATCTAAATATTTCTTTTATTAGAATGGATGGATAATTAAAGTATGTTCTTGTGTAATTTAAATCATTTTATCCACGAATATCGAATATGTCTAGGGAAAGAGCAGGTGAGGTTTTTATTTCTTTACTTGAAACTTCTCTATCAATTTAAGTTTTATTATTGTAATATTATCTCAGCTCTTAATAGTATCTTATTTCTGTTCAAAGATTCAGTTGTGCATTAAATAGCTTTATAAAAACGATGGATACAAAACTGTCACATATTTTATTTAATTTAAACCTATCATTTAAAAGTAATATAAAGATGTGTGCTTACATAAATGATTCTTAAATGAATTTTGACTCATCATCATGATTCTTATGTATAGAATTTAAGAAGCTTAATATTAAAAAATATATTATATATATGTTACATATATACGGGTCTATCCTTATTTTTCTATTTAAATTTCAATGATCTTTATCAGTGACATGTCTCTGAGAGAGGTATTGTTTAGTTAAATCTAATGTAAATGAGTACTACATTATTTCCTCTTAAGAAATGTCTATATT